TAAGGTGGGAGCCATAGAGGATTTTGAACAGAGGAGGGAGGTGGACTGACTCAGGTGCTCACAGGCACCCTCTGGCTGCTGTGGGGGGAGGAACAGACAAGGTTGAGTGGAGGGTGGTAGAAGCTGAAAGAAGGAACTGTGCTTGTCCAGGCAGGAGATGAGGAGGCGTGCACCAGGTGGGACTTAGGAGGGGAGAGAAGCAGGCAAGTTCTGGTTGGGGGGTCTTGGAACAGAATTTTTGGGACCCATTTGATAAGTTTGCACCTGAGAGGCTTATCCAGGTGCGGTTGTCTAGGAGACTCAAATGTCGGGTCTTGGGTCCAGCAATGAATTCCAGGCTAGGGCTTGACACTGGGGAATCCTTCCTTGAGGTTAAGAACTTGGTAGAGCATGAGAAGAGGTTGAGTGAGAAATGCAGGAAGGAGTCCTGAGGCCGGTAAGTATATATGGACAAAAGAAGAGGAGCCTTAATTCTGGAAAATTCCCAGTTGGGGAAGGCCATGCAGCAGCAGTAGTTTTGAGGGGGGACTGCAGGAACCTCACTTAACTGTGATGGATGGGATCAGGGCCCCCACCCTAGCTTGGTGTTTGACCATCTCCCAGCCTCCAGCATTTTCTGGCCTGAGGTCTGTTCCTGGTCCCTGAAGCATTTTGCCTGCCTGAGCAGAAGGCTGGAAGTTCAGGGAGTTAAGCCGCTTCAGATGCAGCCCGGACCAATGACAAATAAGGGTTGGTGTATAAATATCCCAGCTCCCTTCTGGAACTGAATGGGTCTCAGTAGCGTGCTCTCTGCTGCCTCCCAGAGGTCACTAGTGGGAGTGAACCTCCGTCGTGCACACTGGGAATTTACTCTCCAACGCACTGTTTATTCCCTGCTTTTCTTTACCGGTTCCGCTCCCCCACTGGCTCCCAGGGTGTTTTCTGGGTATACTTCCTGGATAAGTGACTCACACCCAGATCTTGATCTCAGCATATCGGTCTGGAAACACGAATGAAGGCTCCTTTTACGTAGGAAACGAGTGGGGGAGGAGGAGCCACCTTGAACTGGTCTTTGTTCCTACCCCGCCCCCATCCCAGGGAATTTCGAAGAAGGGGTCCCCTATCGAATCACAGTGACGGCGGTCTCTCCCAGGGGCTTGTACCCTGCTCCCCCAGTCTGGAGTTTCAGAGAGGAACTAGGTAAGCTATGGGGCTGGAAGATGGAGGGTCCTGGAACCGCGGCAGACCTTGACCCACTGGCTTTCTCCGCAGCACCTTTAGTAGGCCCAGCGCTTTGGCGACTCCAGGATGCGCCCCCAGGGATCCCCACCATAGCGTGGGGAGAGGTCCCAAGGCACCAACTTCGGGGCCGTCTCACCCACTACACCTTGTGTGCACAGAGTGGGACCGGGCCTTCTGTCTGCATGAATGGTGAGCTTTTCTGCCTCCCGTCCCTTGCTCCCAGCCCCCGCAAGACCCACCTATCAGTCTGCTTTACCTCTTGTCCTCAGATGGGCCCATCTGGTTCCCTCTCAGCCCGTGAGAGAATGCATGATGTTATCAGTTCCCTAGTGGACAATAAACCCGGTGGCTTTCAGTGTAATGTACTGTCATTTGGCCATTAAAAATGAAGACTCCAATCTATATTTATTGGCATTGAAAGATGCCTGTCAAATTTTATTAAGTGAAAAAGATAGAAGGATTCAAAACTGTGTGGGATGGTTCCATTTTTTGTAAAATAAACCCAGCATTGAGCAAAGCAGAGGCAGAAATAAATTTCCATCAGTGTCGACAGGATTGTAGGATTACATATGATTTTTATTTCTTTTTCATACCTTTGAGTGTAGACTAAATTTTTATTCTGGGCACAAATTCCTTTTCACTTTTTAAAAATATTTAATTTATTTATTTTTAGAGAGAGGGGAAGGGAGGGAGAAAGAGAGAGAAACATCAATGTGTGGTGGCCTCTCACTGCAACCCAGACAGTGCCCTGACTGGGAGTTGAACTGGCAACCCCCCTGGTTTGAAGGCTGGTGCACAATCCACTGAACCATGCCAGCCAAGGCCACAAATTCTTTTTTATAAAGCATCTTGATTACCCTTTTCTTTCCTAATAACAAAAATTGTCTGTGCTTGTTCCAAAAGCAGGCACATATCATTCAAGAATATCAGCATTTTTGTCATTTCACTGATATGGACAACAGAGCTTCCAGGTTTTCCTATGTGTATATTGGTTTTTTAAAGATTTCAAGGGAGAATATAACAAATCCTCATATGCCCACCACCGTCCAGCTTTAGCAATTACCTACATATTGCCAATCTTATTTCAGTTCACCCCATGCCCCCACTTGTTCCCCAAAGTCTTTGGTGTCCCTCCATCCCAAAACATTCAGTACTTCACATGTGTCCCTAATTGATAAAGCCTACTTTCTTAGTGTACTTTTCCATGACTGTATCTTACAAACATGTACACACATACACATATGTCATTAGGTTAAAAATTATACCTATTGTTATTATTAAAAGAGTACCATGTTGTAGGGTAGTGTTTGGCCCATGAATCTGACAGTGTTGTTTTGCAGCTTTCTTTTTTCATTTGATGACTTAACTTGGGCATCTTTCTTTGGCAGTATATCTTGATCCCTGTTCATGTCTCCTATAATCCCATGATAAATGAAAAATTGCTTCCTTTTTTGGCTTAAAAAAGCAATCCAGTTTAAAAAAAGTAAACAAAAATAGCTCTGGAAGGTCCAAATGTCCACCCTGGGTCTAAGGGGTCTCCCTCTACTGGGTTCTGTGCAGGTGAGGGATGTGGTACTCACCTATTCTTGTTTATTAAATTTATATATTTTTTTAGTGCTTTCTATATGCCAGGCTGACCCAGGTCCTGGAAATGTGGCCTTTGTGGGGCTTACTTTCTAATGGGGGAAATACAGGCATAAACAAAGTATATAATAATAACCTAAGCAATGTGTCAGATGGTGATCAGGGCTGGGTAGAGAATAAAGCAGGAAAGGTGGGTTGTGAAGATGAAATTTTGTATGTGATGGGGTAAGGGAAGGTCTCCTTAGAGAGGCAACATTTGTGCAAAGACCTGAAGGAGGGAGCCCTGTAGATATCTGGGGGAGTGTCACAGACAGAGAGAAAGCACATGCAAAGGCCCAGAGGTAGGACTTGACTATCTCCCTAACCTTTCTGGGTTTGTCCTTCAGTGAGTGGAAGAACCCAGAAAATCACCCTACCCAACCTTCCCTGGGGTCCCTGTGAGCTGTGGATGATGGCATCCACCATCGCAGGACAGGGCCCTCCTGGTCCCAGCCTCCGGCTTCATCTGCCAGGTAGGGGCTGCTCCATTTTAAGGGGACATGGAATGACTCTCTGGGCTTCAGTGATTGGGCAACCTTTGGCCTTAGGGGATAGTTATTGATGATGCATTTTGATTCTGCTAAGTACTACTGTAGGTTATTAGGAAATGTGTCTCTGACCATTTCACCCACCTCTAACCTTGACCTTTCACCGATTACTGCTCTGTTCACAGACCCCACTCCCACTCCAAGATTTTCCCCACATGTAGCTCCTACCCATTTTCATAAGTCCTGCTCATTTATCCATCTCTCTCACCCAAGCCCAGTACATCAATGAGCCTTACCTGCCCCCTCCACACTCCTGGTGTCTGACTCTTCTTTTGCCCCTCTCCCCCAGATAATACCCTAAAGTTGAAAATTCTGCCAGTTGTCATTCTCCTGTGGGGCTTGCTCCTGACATGCTGTGGCATAAGCCTGGCTACCTCTGGAAGGTGAGGCAGTCAATATATGGGCTTCTGCACAGTGGGAAGAGCAACTGGGCAATAACTGAGCTTCTGGGGTGAGGGGATACCCCAGGGCTGTGACATTCCTGGTTCCTGCAACCTAGGCATCAGTATCTGGCCACTTGGATTCTGTTCCCTGAGTCTTACCTGCCTTCCAGGTGCTTCCACCTGCAGCACAAGGTACTGCCCCGTTGGGTCTGGGAGAAAGTCCCTGATCCTGCCAACAGCAATTCCAGCAAGCCCTATGTAGAGGTGAGCAGAAACACTCACTGGCTTGTTGGGAACCTTCAGGGGGTTGGGGAATGCTGGGATGGGGGAGTGGGTAGAAGCATTGATGGAGAATGGGGGCCATAATCTCACCTATCTCTCTTCCCAGGAAATACCCCAGGCCCAGCCCCCCAGGGACTCGCCCACTTTGGAGGTGGAGGAGATGGAGCCACTGCCAGTTGTAGAGCACCCCCAGGCCTCCTCCCAGCTTGATTCTGGGTATGAGAAACACTTTCTACCCACACCTGAGGAGCTGGGCCTACTGGGCCCTCTGCCCCCAGGCCCCAGGGTTTGGCCTGAACCAGGCCAGGAGAGGAGTACTCATTTGACAACTGAAGACACTGAGGCTTAGAGACATAGAGCCACTCACCGAAGGATACCCAGCCAGGAAGACCTGAGATTGAAGGACCTCTACAGAAGAGGACCTGGCCCTATAGGGAATGTATGGATGGATGAAGGAATAAAAGAACATATACAAAATCCAGAGTGGTAGCCACTTCCCCAAATCTGTCCTTCTACTGTAACAAAACTATAGCTGGGTTCACTTCCAGCCTCTCTTGCAGCTAGGTGGGTCCAGGCATGTAGTCCTCACCAATGGAATGTAAGCAGAAGTGACTTGTGCCGAAGCTGGGACTGTGTGGGGCTCCTCCATATTCTCTTCCCTTTCCCATGAGCTGGAAGAACATTGACATGGCATGAGTTAGCTTCAGCCAGACCCAAGGGGAAGGTGGGGGCAAGAAGTGGAAAGAAACCTGAGTCCCTGAGTGACTGCATGGATCAGAGCCACCCAGAGAAATAAATTTATGTTTTTATAGTTACTATAGCTTGAGATCTTTTGTTACAGCAGCTGCGCTTGTAATAGTCACTGACTCATAATTTGATTCTAGCCAAGTGAAGGCTTCAATTTCCCACCAGGAGATAGTACAGTGATTCTGTGCCAAAAACACACATTTAAGCTATCCCAATGCCTTAACGTTTTATTTTCAAGTATAAAGGCTTAGTTGGAGAAGGGGGCCAGGGTTACAGGCAGTGGGCAAGGGATCTGGCAGCCCAGGTAGAGGTGGATGTGTGGGCCAGCAGGCTCCCAGATGCCATGGCCAGTCTCATTTGCCCTGTCTGTGCCTGGGACCCTCTGCTGGATGCCAAGAGGCCGAGGTAGCTGTGAAAGGAATGAGGCGTGGGGTGGAGGGCACAGGCTCACATCACCGCACAACACTGGCACGTCTTTTGCTTAGGGCCACTTGCCTCTTCACCTTCAGGAGGAGCAGATGGCTCAGGTTGCTGGGCAGGTGCATAGGTGGGCACGGGGTGGGCACTGGGGTTGGCCCTGGGCTCCTCCACTAGAAGCAGTGGCTGGCACTCGGTGGGCTGCTCGGGAGCTGGGGTCTCTGCCAAGAGGGGGGCGGCATCTCCCAAGGTGTCCTGGCCCTCAGCAGGGGTTTGGGGCTTCATTGCTTCTTTCTCCAGGGAGCCTTTCTGCTTCTCCTGGGGCTGCTGTGGTCCTTCCTCCTCCGACTTTAGCTCTTCCTTGGCCCCCACAGGTTGCTGTGGTCCTTCCTCCTCCGACCTTAACTCTCCCTTGGCCCCCACAGGTTGCTGTGGTCCTTCCTCCTCCGACTTTAGCTCTTCCTTGGCCCCCACAGGTTGCTGTGGTCCTTCCTCCTCCGACTTTAGCTCTTCCTTGGCCCCCACAGGTTGCTGTGGTCCTTCCTCCTCCGACCTTAGCTCTCCCTTGGCCCCCACAGGTTGCTGTGGTGCTTCCTCCTCCGACTTTAGCTCTTCCTTGCTCCCCACAGGTGGCTGTGGTCCTTCCTCCTCCAACCTTAACTCTTCCTTGGCCTCCAGGGGAGCTGCTGCCTCACTCACCTCCTCTGTCTGACCTTCTTTTCCTCTTGACTTTCTCTGCTCTTCTAGACTCACATCTTCCTTGACCTCTTGGGTCTTCTCTGCCTCCAATGGTTCCTCACCTCCTGTTTTCTCTGCCTTCACCGATTCCTCCTCTTTTTTCTCTGCATCCAATGGCTCTTCATCTCCAGCTTTCTCTACTGTTAGTGACTCCTCACCCTTTGTCTCTGTCATCAATGGTTCTTCAATTGCCTCTAGTTTTTTTTCATCTCCTTTCTTCTCTACAACCAATGATTCCTCAGTTTTCTTCTCTGCCCCTAACTTTTCCTTCTCTGCCCTCAATGATCCCTCAGCTGTCTTGCTTTCTACTCCCAATGGTTCCTCAGCCTCTTTCTCTGCCTCCAGCTTTTCCTCACCTCCATTCTGCTCTGCTCCCAATGGCTCCTTACCTCTTTCCCTCTCTGCCCTCAAAGGTTCCTCTGTTTCCTTGCTTTCTGCTGACAGTGCTTCCTCACCACCTTGCTTCTCTGTCTCCACCTTTTCCTCACCTTCTCTCCTCTCTGGCTTCAAAGGTTCCTCTCTTCCTTTCCTTTCCACTACCACTGACATCTCCACGCCCCCCGACTCTGCCCCTGCCTTTTCCTCACTTTCTTTCTTCCCTGTGCCCACAGATTCCTCTGCCTGTCTCCTCTCCACTTCCCAGGTCTCCCCCCCTCTCCCACTCTCCACCTCCGGAGGATTCTCATCTCCTCCCTCCCTTCCCAGTGCCCTCGGCCCTTCCAACCCCTCCACCTGCAGTTCCTCCCATTCCTCACTGAGGGTCACCCTCTCCACCCAAATGAAGGATCCCTCCTCCCCTCCAGAGCCCCCCTGCCTGAAGCTATCAGGGCTGCCCCTGAGGGCCCCTTCCCCTTCTCCAGAAGCTGTTCCCACTAGTCCCTCCTGGAGCTTCAGTGAGCTGGTCTGTGCAGTCTGTGGGCCCCTGCCTGTCTCCCCTGCAGCCTCTGAGTCACTGCCCTCTGTGCCTCCCACCCCTTCCCAGACCACCTCCACAACACCCCTGTCTTCCTTCTCCTTCACCCAGGATGGGAGCTCTGGGTGGTTGGCTTCCAGCCTGTCACCAATGGCTTCCAGCCTGTCACCAATGGCTTCCAGCACCAGCTCTTCCACCTTAGCCTCCAGCTCTGGGCCAGTGGCTTCCCTGGCACAGTCCTCTGTGGCCCGCAGCCCCTGCCACACCACTTTCACCATGCCCCCTCCTTTGGCCTCATTCACCCCTCCTTCAGATGCTGTCACCAGCTGACTCTGCTCCTGCTCCGGAGTGGGGCTGGGTCTGGGGCAGGGGCCATTGGCTTCTGAGGAGGCCCCTGCTGCCCCAGGGACCCTCCTTGATGCTGGCAGAACCCCAAGAGCCTCATCTCTGGACTCAGACAGGTACTCCAGGGACGTGCCCACTGGTTCTGCTGGCAGGGAGGCTCTCTTGTTCAGATCAGTCTGGTCTGAGGAAGTCAGAGGAGAATAGGGGGTGGGGCAAAACAGTTGAGGTTGAGACCACCCAGATTCAGGCCCCTCCTCCTGGGCCCCTATACCTAGAGGCACAAATACTCACCTGCCTCGTCAGTGGGCTGGGAGAGTGGACGGTGACCCTGCAGGAATGGCAGAGACAAGGTCAGGCCACCCCGCGTCTTGACTTCTAAACCCCTACATGCAGGTACCCCTCCCCCTGCTCAAACACCCTCAATGGCTCCCCATTACCTTCAGGACCAAAACTTCTACTGCATCTGAGCCTTCCTCACCCGACTTATTGTCCTCCACTCACACACAGTAGTGTCATGCAGCTAATATTCTGTATCGGAGACCTATTGTATCGTCTGCTACCAAGGGACACTTAAGCCTTTGGCTATTAGAACATACATTCCAAACTGTATGTTCTAATACATAGTAGAAGGGGAGAATACTGTACTGGGAGATGGGAGAGCTGGGTCCCTCCCCATTCTGCCCCTCATTTACTATGTAACCTTGGGAGAGGCACTGTCCTCTCTGGGCCTCTGTTTTTCTATCTGTAAAATGAAGCGCTTGAACCAGAGGTGATGGGCATGTTGATGACCTGTCCTCTGCTTTCCAAGGCACTTGAGGGGCATGGGTAGTCATCTTCCAAGGGCTTTGGCTGCTGATGGGGTTTGGCCCCAGAGCTGGTGACATATTTCCAGCTGCCCACACGGCCCCATCCTAGTGTGCCTGGTCCTTCAACTGTGTGGTCCAGAGCAGTCTGGCTTGCCAGGGATGTCACTGTTGGGGAGACAGTGACTTCAGGTGGGGAGTGATATAATTCCAATGGGAGTAGGCAGGTCATAAATAAGTATAAATAAATCATGTCAGGGAGTGAAAAATAATAATGGCAGGGGAAAAAAGCAGGACAAGGGGTTTAGGAGTGTCTGAGAGGTGACAGGGTGTCTTCTTTAGGTATATGATGTAGGAGGGCCTCTGGGAGGAGGTGACATTGAACAGAGACCTGAAGGAGAAGAGCCGGCCTTGAGTTAAGAAGTGGGAGAGGGTATTCCAGGCAGAGAGGACAGCAAACACAAAGACCCTGGGGCTGCAATAAGCTGGACAAGTTTAAGGAGCAGAGACGGGGGATCAGTGTGGCTGGAGTGGAGTTAAGAAGGGAGAGAAAGATGGGCTCAGGGACAGTGTGGGCCAAGTTTCATGGATCCCCTCACAGTTCTCTGATCCTAATCTCCTTTTTCTAGCTTCCATGCCTTTACAGAGGCTATTCTTTGCCTGGAATTACCTTTCCCCTTGTACCTGGCTCTCACTCAGATTCAACATGGATGTCACTGCCTCCAGGAAGCCTTCCTGAATCTTCAACCTCCCTAAGGTGCTTTCTCTGAGCTTCCCCATGCCCAGGGCTCCCCCCTCCCAGACTCTTTGTACCCCATTTCCTCATCTGGACAGTGAGCTCTCATGGGCCAGGAAGCATGCCTTGTGCATCTCTGGCAAGGAACTTCTGGCTTATACCAAAACTCCAACAAGTGCTTCCCATGACAATTAACAGGTCTTCTCTCTGGCCTGTGATAGGCACCTAGGAGCTAAGGGAACACATCAGGGAAAGGCGGGGACTGTGAAAAACCCACACCTCACTGTGGCCAGGCCCAAATGTGGCTGGAGTTTTGGACTTCAAGGACTACCCAGATGACCAGATTTTACTGTAAAGTATCCTGTTTTTAAAATTATGTGTGTGGCATTAATTAAGGTGTTACCAAACTGAAAGCAAACAAACGAAAAATGCCAAACCTGTGTAGATGCTTCAGATCCCAAGATCATCTCATGGTGGTCTGTTCCTACCTTTAAGGCCGAATTCCATAAGCCTCTCCCACATCTTCTGCCCTCCTTCCTCATTGGCACCATACTAGCAACTATATATTAAAACATTCCATTGTGCCTGTTTCTGCTGCTAAGTTGTGACTCGTGGACCCTCCCTCCACACCTCTTCCAGATGTGTGCCGATACTTTATTTTCAGAGACAGGGAAACTGAGGCTTGGGTAAGGAACGTGGCTTGCCCCAGACCACAGGGCAAAGAAGTAGCAGAAGACCAAGCATCTAAACTGGAGTTGTAGAGAGGATCTGCTTGGGGCCCTGCGGCCACACCCATCCCCAGCCCTTTGCTCCTGCTTACCTGTCTGCGCCAGGTGGGTCTGCCAGAGGGCTTGTGCTGGGCACCTGTGGACGCACTTTGCAACAGCTGCAGCTGAGATTGGAGCCTGGAAGAAAAATGGCTGTTGGGAGCTGAGTCCCTAGACTCATTGGACCCCCACCCCCACCACAGTCTCAATTTGCCACCTCCTGGGAGCGGGCCCAGGGTTCTGACCTAGCCAGGCAGCGGCCAACGTGGCAGGCAGAGACCCCACTCACGTGAACAAGCTGTCTTCCAGGTTCCGGATGCGGGCCTGTGCCTGGCCCTCAGGGGACTGAGGGTCCTGCAAGGTGGTGTCCTCTGGTCCCTCATGTCCCTCGGTCCCATCCATTAGCCACCGCTCCCGAAGAGACTTTCTCTGGGCATGGAAAGGGGCTCCAGCTGGGTTTCCCTGCCCTGTGCAGGTCCCTTCTCCCTCCCCTGCCTCACAGGCTGGGCAGATTTCTTATAGCTCTTATAGCTCCGTATTCACCCAGATGGGACAGACAGTTCTCCCTCAGTCTGGGATACATGCCCTCATTGCCCCCTCAACACTGCTAGGTGGGACAGACACCCCATTACCAGCACACAGCTTCCCCAGGCTGGAAAAAAACACCCATCAACCTCCACAATCCTTCCAGAATGGGGCACACATCCCCTAAGGTGAAATCAATGTCTTTCTTGGCTCCTCCCACCCCAAAGTTGGACAGATACCTTCACTGTCCCCATATTCTTCCCAAAGGTGGAACAGATATCCCCATCACCACCATCACCCACTCACGATCAGGGAAAGACAGCCACCCCCAAAGCCTGGGACCAGTGGCCCCAGCTGCTCCCCCATAATTAGACAGAGGGTCCTATGGTCCTGCGAACCGACGCTCACAGGAACTCCCTCCCCCCACTCCCTGGCCCAGGTTGGGCAGGTGCCCCCACTTGCCACCAACCTTGAGCCGCTCCACGCGGAGCTTCTCTTCTTCTAGCTCCCCGCGCGCTGCACGGATCTCCTCCTGCAGCCGCCGCTTCTCCTGCGCGAGGACTGAGCTGCCGCCAGCCGGGCGGGGCCGTCTCCTCCCTTTCCGCCCTCCCTCCTCCGTGGGACTAGAGCGGGGGGATGGGGGGCGGCGGGGGGATCCCGGGGCTGCAGGGCTGTGGAGCACACGTCGGGGACCGGGGCGGGGAGGGGGCTGCGGAGGCGCTGACTCAGCAGCAGTGGGGGCGGGGCTGGAGGGGGCGGGGCCTGCCGCGCCCCGGATTCTGCGGAGGCCTGGCCCTCACTGAAAGAGGGGGTGGGTCTGTGACTGGGTGGTGGGCAAACCTTGGAATGGGCATCTAGAGGGGAGACAGAGCTGTGGGGGCTAAAGAGATGGGGTTTAAGAGAGATGGGGTTCAGAGATGGGGGTCCTGATAAGGGAATCAAAGGGAGGTGACTAATGGTATGGGGTCCGGAATGGAGGTGCAGTCATGGGAGTTCGGTGAGACTGGGCTGTGGAGATGGGGTCCAGAGAGATGGAGATGCAGAAGTGGGAGACAGAGAAATGGGGTGCAGAGGTGGGAAACAGATGGGGCTAGTGAGGTGGGAGGTTTTAAAAGGGGGTACAAATATGGGGTCAGAAGGTTGGAGTCCAAAGGGATGAACATTTAGATATGGGGGGCTCAGAGAGATTAGCGAGATGGTTAGTGAGAAATGGGGTTTACACACGGGATGTTTGGAAGAGGTCAAGCTTCAAAAATGCAGCATTGGATGATGCAGATTCTGGATGTGCAGGCGTGGGCGGGGGGAGACCCTCGGACTCATCATTTTGGGGGTGGCGGTGACCAGACAGAGGAACTGGAGAGGGGAGGGGCCTGAGGATGTACGTGGGACGCCCCAGGAAGGTGTGGAACTGAGGGTGCTGCTCCTCCACTTTAACGAAGCTAGGCTATCTCCCCAGGATACCAGGGAGGCCAGAAAGAGGCCGGGGGCAAGGCTGGGATTGCCCAGGGCGCTGGGCCGGGCACACGGACAGAGCGTCACTTACCGCGATGACCTCCAGTCGCTGCCGGTAGAGGGAGCTCTCGGCCATGGGCCTGTGGAGAGAGGGCAGAGGCTTCGGAGGCAGTCTCCTACCACCCCACCCTCAGCAGACTGACCTTTTGAATGCCTTTCTCTGAGACAAGATCCTTGAACCATTTGAGAAGCAACTAGAGCCCAGCATTTCCTCTGTTTCCCCTTTGCACCTGGGAGGAATTGGGGAGGCAGGAGCAAAGACCATGACAGTTGAGCTAAAGCCCTTCCTAGGTCTGACATCACCTCTCTGAGCCTGTTTCCTCATCTGTATAATGAGCCTGGATAACTTGAGCCTGACCTTGCAAAGAGATGCCCTAACAAGGAAGTATCCATGCAGGAAAAAACTTAGGACACAGTACTCCAAAAGCAGTAGCAAAAGTTATTATTCATAATACCTTTAATAATTCCCATGATTAATAATACTTATTATTAGTTATAATAACTATTCACAGTCCATCCTACAGAAACTCTCAAATCCTGCCAGGCCCCCAACAGGCTGTGTCTCTTTCCAATTCCAAACCCTCTCTGGATTTTGGCTCCTACCCAGGATCCCTTAAGTTCTGGGGGTGAGGGAGTCTGGGGAGAGAAGTGTCCATCCCACCACTGTGGACACTTGCCATTGCCATGGTAACTCCAGAGCTGCCCTCGTCCCCTGCCACCCCCCAGGAGGCAAGGGTCACCAAGTCATGCTGCCTCTCTAGCCTGGACTCTGAGCTGAAAGGAGGGGAGGAGGATTTGCTATTTAAGGTTTAACCTGAGATACTCCCATCGTTGTCCTCCTTGCAGCATCCCAGGATCCTGCTTCACAGCCTCCAGGGCCACCCTTGGCCCATCTGGGCTCCCTCTGGAAACTGGAATCTGACTGTAGTACTGCAGGGCGCTTAGTAGACAGTCATCGCTGTATCAACCTATCATCATGGACATGCATTGAGCACCAGCTATGTGCAGGTGCTTCCCAGGCCAGTAGCTAGAAGGACATATCTATCTGCTTGTTGTCCTGGACTCTTAGGCCAGAGTGCGTACAGGATAAGCCCTCAAACATTTATTAATTTGAGCACTAACACTGTTGTATTAGCCTGGTTGCCCAAACTCAAGCAGGGCCTCCCAGATCTCCTGTGGCCACACCATGCAGCTATAATATCAGTACATATTTAGCACTTACTATATATAGTGCTCTAAGTGCTCTGTGGGGCCTCCAACAGGCTACCACAGCTACCTCCCCTCCTCCTCCCTGCCCTGATCTTGAGACACTGTAGTTGACTCATTGCTGAGTTGACATTCCAACTGGGAATAAAATCAGCCAACCATTAGCCAGTGCATACCATGTGCCAGGTGCTCTGAAATGCTTTACCTATATAACTCACTGAGTCCTCCCACAGATCCTAAGAGGTAAGTAATATTCTTGTTCCCATTTTATGGATAGGGACACTTTCTGCCTCCAGAAAGTGGCAAAAAGACGTGTCCAAGATCACTGAGTCAAGAATGGAGTTGGAAGCTCTCAGGCCCCAAACACTGGGAACTCTGAGGGAGAGAAGTGGGGTCCAGCACCCTATCTTGGCAGCCAAGAGGCCAGAGATCAGCCTGGGGGGGGTCTGTGATTTCCTTTGGGTCAGGGGGCTGAAGTCATGATTTGCAGGAAGGCCAGACCCCCTGCTAAATAGGTTTGCCCCTGGAGGAGGGCTGAAGTGCCCCTTCTGCTGTCCCATCCCCAAGATGTAATCTCCTGGCCTCTTCCTTGCTGGGGGGGATCAGGTTCCCATTGCTAGGCAACCAGGTTTGTAGTTGGTGAATAATGTAATGGGGGACCCAAAAGAGTGAGGAAACCAAATTGGGGTTCCTTGGGTAGCCCATTTTCCAGAATTTTTTTTACAAACCTCTGAAGCCCTGTCATCCTCCTACTTTAAAAGGCCCTCCTACTTCAAATATTAAAATGGTCTGTACATGCATTCCACATGATTTATCTCTGACTCTACAAGAACAGCGTTCATAGTGGCCTGTTGCCACCAGGAGCAGTTGGTGGCCATTTCATTAAGCAAGCGATCATTTCAATTTTGCCATCATCTTCCCCAGTTTAGGAGCAATTAAACTTTTTCTGTTGGATTTCAAGCGTTTCCTCCCACCCTAGATCCTCAGGGGTGTTCCTAGAGGCAAAACGCTGAGCGAGGGGCTCTGTCATTCCCTGTCCCCCTACCACCCCGGGCTGGACTTTAGGCTTGAAGCCTGCCAGTGGAAAATCCCCAAAAAGAAGAGGGTAGAGGTTCATTTCGCTCATCTGACTCTCTGGGGAGGGGGACATCATAGAGCCTTTAAGGTTGGCTGCTGGTGTCTCTCCACTCCCCCTTGGTCCTTCTCACCCCGGTGGAAAGGTCTGTGTCCCCCATGAACCCCTCCCAGGCCCTGCCCACCTGCCCCCCTGACCCTGGACACTTACATGGGTGTGGCCGGAGACCACACCTGGCTCTGCAGGGCCATCTCCGCCCAGAATCCCACGTTCTGGTCTCCGAGAGATCAGGACCCACCACCCGCTTGCCCGCCCGAAGGTGCCCTGGAGGCTGTGACTTGGCTGGCAGGAGGGGGGGCTGCGGTCAGGCACCGGGAGAGCTGGTCCAGCTGGTTTGGGCTGGGAGGCGGGAGGTGCATGGGGCGAGGGGGGCTGGGGGCTGGCAGGCAGTTCTGGGGAGGAACTATCAGCTGTCCTGATAAATTATTTACCAGCCACTGGCCTCCTTGCTGCACTTGGCTGCCTCCTGGTAAATACACTCTCACATGTGTGGTGGGGCATGTGGACCCAAGTGGGGAGTCAAGAACCGCTCCCTGCCCCCAGAGAGTGGCAGCGCTACTTGGCATGACAGCTATCTCATGTCTAGCCTGCCCACCAAGGATCCCCCACGTGCATGCGAGCATCGCTGCACACCGCACATGTTGGCTACTCTCTCAAAGTACTTACTGCCCTCCCTTCTGGGACCCTGGCTCTGGGGTGGGGAGGGAGGGACTGATCCAGCTAAAGGATTCTGAGCACCATAGGAACCAGGAGACCTGGGCTCTGGGCAACTGTAGGCAACTCACCCCAGGTTTCTAGGCCACAGTTTCCCCTTTTGTGAAGTGGGAGAATTAGATCAAGTGGCCTTCAGGACCTGGGACCCTTACATGCTGTAGCAGAGGCAAGGTCCTGATGAGGAAAGTCTAGAGAACTTTCCACCCAGATCTTAAGGATCTCTGTTTTGAGCCCCATGCCATTCTTAAAGTGCCAGCAACCCTTTTCTCAGCTGACTTCATGTTTCATTTAACCACTCCTTGGGGAAAGCACCTACTTTCCAGGCTGGTGTCCCCCAGTGCTTTCCCTGTCACAGCCTTGGTCACAACTGTGCAGTTCCAAGACAGAAGCCTGGAAGAGAAAGGTCCTTGCCCTGCGCTCCCTACTTTAGAGAGCGCACTCCAGCTGAGACATTCCCGTGGGGCAAAGGGAAGGGACCCACCTACGTCCTGCAGCTTCATCTTCTAGATCCTACTCTGGGTACTTGGGGCCTCAGAATTCCCTGCTCCAGTGATCTTGAGCTCACTGAGAAGGCTTTCAGTTTCCTGAAGGCAAACCATGAAGCCAGGCTGTGCTTCACCCTGTCACTTCAGCCCAGCCTGACCCCAGAAGAGGCCAAAGACAACTGTTGGGAGAGGGGTGAGGAAAGAGCTTGGACATGAAGGACCGTGTACTCAGGTGCATGCACAAAGCTGCTTGCTGTGCAGGGCAGAGTTGGAAGTGGGAGGCAAAGGGAGTCAGACTGAAGACTGGGTTTCCCTGTACCCCCCATGCTAGCACAAAACTCCTAGGGATTGAAAATATTGTCAGTTAAGCTGGTCTCAGTCATTTGGAAAGTATATTTGCCATGATAGGGAGGGAGAACATATTTTTAAAATTGGTTTTTAATTGTGGTAAAATACACATAAAATTTATCATTAGTGTCATTTAGTACATTCACAATGTTATACAACTTTTGCCACCCCAAAGGAAATCCTTCCCTATGAGTAGCCACTCCCCATCCCCCCTCCCCCAGCCCCTGGCAACTACCAATCTGCTTCCTGTTCCTGCTCTGGAAATTTAAGGCCAGTGGAATCATACAACACATGGCCTTTTGTTTCTGGCTTCCTTCACTCAACGCAAGGCGTTAGCATGAGTAAATGCTTTATTACTTTTTATGGATGAATAATACTCCACTGTGTGGATGGAGCACATTCTGTGTATCCATTTGTCTGTCAATGAACAGATGGGTTGTTCGCACCTTTTGTAGGCAAGAATACATTTTATTTAATGGCTCATAGCTTGATTTTTATAAATACAATAACAACAACAATATAAACGAAGTCGTTTTTAAAATGGAACTAGAGCCGCCACCCCAGAGTAACTGCCTTGCGTGTCTTTGCCCCTCACACCTTGGGAATGTTAACACAGGGCAGAGTAAACTTTGGGCTGGGTCCAAAGCAACATTGTGCCCTAAAGGAATGTTTGCAAAGATAACGAGAAAGCAGATCTATGACTACAGGACCGATGAGTACCAGGCTGAAATTTTAAAACATTGTTTAGAATTAGCACCACCGAGTTAAGCTCATCTGCTCCAATAGAAATGCCTTTCTTCTACTGGTATAACTGTACCCCTTCCCTTTCTCACAAATATCCCTGGCCTTTGTCTCCTAATTGGAACACTGGTTGGGTTTCTGTCTGAATCAGTGCTTCCCAAATAGCTATTCTTTTGGATCTCAAATAAATGCTTGTTGCCTCTCACTTTGGCCTTTATTTTTAGATTGACTATTTTATAACTGTTAATGATTGAGATGTATAGTATATAGGTTTCCCTTTGTACTCTTGTCCTGGCTTCCACGCTGAGGCAAGACTGTTCTGTTTATAATCTGTCTGCCTCTCAAACTCAACTGCAACTTCCCAGTCTGATTTATTTCTTTATTTCCAACATCGATGTAGGCCTAGTAAATACTAAGCAACTGCTTTGTGTCAGGCACTCACTGTTCTAGGCGTGGGGCACTTGGGTATAGAGGTGGGAAAGACAAACTAAACTTGCTGTAATGCAACTCACTTTCTAGTGGCAGCAGATAGATAATATGCAAATAAATAAATAAGGGTGATTGGTGATAACTGCAGTATAGGGCAAGTTACAGAAAACAACAAAGATGGAGTTATGGAGGGGGCTGTGTATAATGTAGGCTAGATGATCAGGACCACTTTTTTTTTCCAAAGATTTTTTTTTTAATTTTTAGAGAGAGGAGAAGGAGAAAGAGAGGGAGAGAAACATCAATGTGTGGTTGGGTTGCCTCTTAACCCAACCCAGCCAGGGTAAGGACCACTTTTCTGAAGAAGTGACACTTGAGTCCAGATATGATGAGTACGAGCCAACCATATGATATCATTCCAGGAAGAAGGAAAGACAAGTGCAAAGGCCCTGAGGTGAGAATACAGTGGGTATTTTGAGGGAAGCACAAAGGCTGGATCCAGGGAGAGATTGTTATAAGATAAGATCTGAGAAGTGGGCAGAGCCTTTGGGCAGGGGCAGGGAGTTTGGATTTTTCTTCTAAGTTTGGCAGGGAAGCATTGGAGTAAGGTGAAGTGAGTGGGATGAGGGTGGAGAGAAATGGACAAATTCAGAATGTTTTGGAGGCTGAGCCAAAAGATCCAACAGCAATCTAATACAGAAGGATTGAGGAGGGCAGTGGCTGAGGAAGACAGAAATTCAGGCTGACACATAGGTTTGGGGCATGAAAACCTGAATGGGTGAGTTGCCATACATAGTGAGGGGGAGTAGAGTGGAAGGCAACTGAGTTCAGTTTTGAAAGTGTTCAGATTGACATATCTATTGGACACGAGACGATTTGGGGCTATAAATCCAAAACCTAGGAGAGAAGTCAGAGCTAGAGATGTAAATTTGGGAAACATCAGCACAGAGATAGTGTTTAAAGCATGAGATTGGGATCTGTCAGGGTCCCAGTGTTGGCAGGAAAAGAGATTGTGTGCTCAAACAGAGTAATGGATGAGAACTTAATAGAGTCAGTTTACAAAGGTGTAGGGAAACAATCAAAGCATTGTGCACACCCTGGGTTAGTAACAGCTGGGAGCAGTTACCACCCCTTGGCACCCGTTGGCCTTGTGGGGGTGGGGGAGAGAGAGACAGAGAGAGAGAAAGAGAAAGAGAAAGAGGGATTGAGATAGAGATTGATGTGCAGAGCTTCTACCTACAGTGGAGGGACACAGCCAACTGCATCCAACTGAGGGTACATGGGATAAACATGCGACCTCACTCTCCTCTCCCCTATCAGCCAACCCCAGTGGAAGCCAGAGGGGAAGAAAGCCTGCTGGTACAGGTGAACGGAAGTCTGAAAAGGGGTGCTCTGGAGGTAGGAGGAAAACTGGGAGAAGGTGGTGTCCCTGGAGACCAAGGAGCTAACGGAGAGAAAGTTAGAGGGGAGCCAGTGGCTGGGTCTGACAAATGAAGGTCATCAGGGTCCTTGGATGGAGAAGGGTCAGTGGGGTGGTGGGACCAAGAACGGGGTTACCATGACCAGAGGAGAGCCGGAGGTAATAAAGTGGAAAGGCCACTAAAGAAACATCTTTTCCCAGAAATACAGCTCTGCTCAGGTTATGGGTGGAATGAACCCAGCTTGATTCCAGCTGAGTCAGTGGGATCAGAGGGAGGAAGGCAGTCAGATGGTCAGAGGGAAGAGATCAGCAGTTGGTGAGACCCAGTAGATTGCTGAATGAGAGGGTGGAAAGAGAGGGTAGTCACCAGAGTAGGCAGAGAATTGGGGGGAGAAATGGTCAGCAAATTGGATTACTGAGGGTTTCTGAGGCTGTATAGCCCCACCACCTTCTCTAGGTAATTATAGCTTTCTTCCCAATCGCCCTAGAATGGTCAGGGGCAGTAGGGAGATTTGGAGAAAGCCTGGGGGAGGACAATGGACAATGTCCCTGGGGGTGGGTCTCTCAGGGGGAGGGCCAGGATCTGGCCCCAACTGCAGGGAGCTGCTATCTTCTGCAAGCCTGGATCCCTCTCTGGGCCTTCCCACCTGCCTCAGCCCAAGGTGACCGCTTTTCTAAATAACACAGTCACTCCACTGAACCCTGGGTGCACTGGATCTGTTCTTCTCTCTTCCCTTAATCTGGGCGTGCACTTGGTCGAGAACACCTCACGGACTTTTCCGGGAGAGGGTCAAAGCGACCTCTGCACTTGGCCAGAGCCGAGGCTACCGCTGGGGATCTTCGCTGAGCCCAGGTACTTGGCGTCAATGCTTCAGGCGCCCCCTCCAGCCCGAGCTGTGTGCCGCAGGGGTGGAAAGTGGATGGACAGCCTAGAGGCCGGGGCGTCGCTGCCTTCTGGTACCCGCTGGGCGGGACTGGCAAAGCCCCAGAACGCTGTCTTCCGGGGATACCCCTACCGGAGGACCTGTGGCTCAGAAGCCCAGCCCGGCTCGTGGCTGGGGCTACGCCTCCTGGCAATACCAGGGACATGGGGATGAAAAGGTGTCCCTGGCAATACCAGGGACATGGGGATGAAAGGTGCCACGCAGGGTGGAGCCCTGCGTGTGAGTCGGCCCCCAGCCTGGCCCCACCAGTGGACCGAGTCTAGGAAAGTCCGGTGCCCTCAGCTGACCCGAAACACGCCGGTGGACAAAATCCGGTGCCCAGCGGAGGCGCGCTCGCCCCGAGGGCGTGGCCGGGGCGGAGCCCGAGTCCTCCGGGCAGGTGCAGGGGGTGGTGCCGGGCCCTGCCCCGGAGGGCCGTTCTAAGAGGCCAGGGGTTGGGTCAGAGACACAGCCGGTGAGGGCGACGCCCTGGAACTCGTGGGCAGCGACTGGGGCCACAGGTGCCCTGTGTCCCAGCTGTGGCCATCAAAACTCCAGCGCTAGAAACTCAGACTTTCGAGCTGCTCTCAACCCCGGACACCAAGGCTCCGGGGCCGGGGAGTGGAGCCCTGGGGTCGCCCGAAGAGCCGGGCCCAGAGACCCCGGGGGCAGACGGTGAAGTCCCTGGGCGTGTCGCAGGGCAGGTAACCTAGGTCCTCAGGACAGGCGGCGAGGGACCCGTGTTCTCTGCATAGCAGGACGCAGAGACCCACAAGCAAGAGAGCAAAGTGCTGGAGCCATTAGCGGGGCAAGGCGCAGAGCTCTCAGAGCCGTGCCCACCTGGGAGCTTTGAGACTCCTGGGCCAGGCAGAGGCGACCCCAAGCCATTTGAAACGCGAAGCGCCCGGGTCCCGGGAAGTTCCCCTTTCAAGATCCCTAGACTTCCTTCTCCGGGGGAGACCTAGAAGCCCCCCAGCAACGTTTTCCTCTGTTCCCTGAGACCTCTCCAACAGTCCCAGAATAGCTGCTCATGGAGACGCCCATCGAACGCGAAATCCGCCGCAGCTGCGAACGCGAGGAGAGCCTGCGCCGAAGCCGGGGCCTGAGCCCAGGTCGCGCAGGCCGCGAACTCGTCGAGCTGCGTTTGAGGCCGGTGCTCAGCCTTCCAGGTCCGGGCACCGCGCTCCCGCGTGCTTTGGAGCGCGCGCGGGCGGGCGCGCAGATGCAGCGAGACATCGAGCGGGAGGCCCACCGGCAGGCGGCGCTGGCGCGCCCCGCGACCCCAGAGCCGCCAGCTCGGCAGCCTCCGCAGCCGCTGGACGAGCTCAAGCGCTTCTTCGAGGCCGCTGGTGAGTGCGGCGTCTCGCCGGGGCCGCAGCGGCTGCTGGAGCACGGAGGCCGGCCGCTTTCGGCTGTGCAGGGCCGGTGTCCGGTGCTGGCCCGCGCCCCGCCGCCCATCGCGCCATCACTGCTGGAACTGGAGGTGCGCGAAGCACAGGAGCGCGAGCTGGAGCTGCAGCGCCAGAGGCTTAGCGTCTATGGCACCGCGGAAATCAAGGAGCCCGCGCCGAGCCTAATGGGTAAGCCACCCGTGCCTGGACGCAGGGGTCCCCCTCCCCGACTTCCCACAACAGTGGCCCTTCTCTGGCCCACTGGGGTTTCCCCCTGGTTCCCAGATACCTGGTACTCCCTCTCAATTTTCCGTTCTCTGTTCACCCCCTTCTGGGCTGCCCACTCTTTTCCACTCGCCACTCGGAGTGGTCAACTCCCAGATACACCTGAGCTCGGTTCGGGATAAAGGAAGGGAGGATCCAGATGTCTTTCTTTTTGTTGGGTCTCAGGGAACTCTGCCTAGATTCCGCGACTCCTGCATCGTCTGAATTTTCGAGTTTCTACCTCCCTACTCTGGGTTGCTTGCTTCCTCCCGCAGAATGGAGGCTTCCTGGGGGAAGCGTCGGGGTGAATGCCTGTGTGTGTTTAAGAGGTGCGGCTGGCTTCCTTTGTCCTGGGCACCTCTAGCTGGTGAGAGGAGGAAAGACCTCGGCAGTGTCTTTTCTCCGCAGCGATCAGGGGCGATGGAAAGCTGGCGGTGATCTGGCCTCCCCGCAGAAAGGCTTCGGAGAACGGCCTGGAGCAGGTGGGACCCCCATTTCCCTCTTACCTCAGGCGCTTGTCGCCACCCCTCCCCCCTACAAACACATGGCCCCCAGGCGCCAGGACGTTGGGGCAGGGAAAGTGCATCCCCGCGCCTGGGGGAAGTCAGTCTGGGCTAACACACAAAGTGCCAGGCGCCGCCCAGGGGTGATGAGGCGGTGGTCTTGGGGCCCAAACCGCCCCACCCTACGCCAACTGACTCCCTCTTCCCAGGAGGAGCGGAAGCCTTGAGGTTAGAGCGGGCTGGGGTCCCCGGCCGGAAGTAACATGCCCGTCAGAGGACGGGGCACCCGGGAGTGCCCTCTGGATAAGCAGAAGTCCTGGAGAGGGGCCAGAGGTCTGCACCGGGGAAGATGAACGCTACCAGCCCATCGTTAACTTGACTTTGTGAAATTGACCAGTTTCTCTATAAAACTGTTATTCCCCACCAGCCAGTGAAACTGCCCAGCCCTTCTCCACCTAACTGCAAACCAAGCTAGCCTCTACCTCCGGCCTTGACTGTTAGAGGACCGGGGTTACCGCTTCAGCTGTCCCCACTCCTCAATAAACTTTCTTCCTTCTGGGCAGTGCGGGCTGTTTTCTTTTGGGTCCTCTTGAATTGGGGTAGGGTAGGAGCGCAAAAAGCGGAGGAGAAAACCGTAGGATGCGCCGACGGAAAGCAGAAAGTGCCCTTAACGCTCTGTTCCGGGGCTGCGGGTCTCCCCCGGCCCTGCCTGGGTCCTAATGCCCCCTGGCGGCGCTGGTGCAAACTGAGGCGTTTAGATCAATGACTTCAGGCCCACGTTTCCAGACTTCGTCAATATTTATTGGTGCCAACGTAGTGCCCCGCGCTGGGCGCAGGCTAAACAGAGGTGACAAGGGGTTGTTCCTGCCCCTAGGTTGTAAACAATAGCTAAAACAAAACACACACAAAAACTCCTTAGAAGGGCACACAAGGCCATTTATAATCTGCCCAGTGATTGCAAACCTCATATGCCCACAGCCCCAAGCAAATACTGAGGAGAGAGATGAGGTGTGCTTGAAAACAAATGCCTCCTTTTAATGGGCAGGTAAGTGTTCCTCCATATTAGCAGTGCTACCAATGAGTGAGTTATGAGTTAAGTGGTGCCAGAGCTTTCTAAAATAAATCTACTAAACTTTAAATAATTGTGACTATTTAGAAAACTTAAAATGGAGGGGGGTGCAAGAGGAGGCAGCAAGCAACACCTGTCTGCAATAGGACTTGTGGTTGTCTATTAGCAGACTCTCCTTAATTCTCTGTCTCAAGACATTCTGTGAACATCCCGAGTTGTAAAATTGTATCTCTGCAGTTATATTCTGTGGTTTTTTAAAAAATATTTTATTTATTTTTTCGAGAGAGGGGAAGGGAAGGAGAAAGAGTAGGAGAGAAATATCAATGTATGGTTGCCTCTCATGTGTCCCCTGCTGGGAACTGGCCTGCAACCCAGGCATGTGCCCTGACTGGGAATCGAACCGCGATACTCTGGTTCACAGGCCCGCACCCAATCCACTGAGCTATGCCAGCCAGGGCTATTCTGTGGTTTTAGTACACCAGCTTCTTAGAGGTGCAGTGAGACCCAGGAAACACTTTAGAATCATTGTTTAAACTCTTGGATTTGTCCAACTTTGTATACCCTGGGTCCAGCAACAGGCTGGAACCTGCATAGGACAACAAATGGCTAATGAAGGATAGAAGAATGCTTGCTGATACAGCATTGCACCCCAACAGCAGCTCAGCCCACCATTCAACCCCATCGTCAGCACACTGACCATATACTTGACCTTGACTCTGGGAGGACTGGAGAGAAAGGCAGGAAAGTCAGCACTGTCAAGGTGGAAATGGAAACACCCAGATCCAGTTCTTAATTCCTCGTAGGACAGCCAAGAACTAAGCATGTAAAGAGTTGACAGGGTGGCTTAAGTGCAGACCTGCTTTCCTGAACTTTCCTGCAGTTTAAAAGCACCTGAGGAATGCTTATGCCAAGTAAATCAGAATCTAAGGGAAGTCTTGGCATCAGTAAAGCTTCCCAGGTGCTTCTAACATGGAGTCAAGTTTGAGAGCCATGCTGTAGATGTAGGCGAGCAGTTCTCAGTGTGCTGCTTGGACCAGTGGCACCAGCACTGCTTAGGAACTTGTTAAAAACACACCTTCTTGGGCCCTGTTCCAGACTTAATGATCAAAACCTCCGTGTGATTCTCAGTGACACTAAAGTTGGAGAATCATGGGTGTAGACAGGACCCAGGAAGTCAAGCCTGTTTCCTTCCTCTCCCAGTACTGCCGTCACCTACTGGAAACCTTTAGTCTTAAGTGGCCTGTGGACTTGCCTTAAGGGAGACAGTCTAAAGCTGTGAGTGACTAACCTGAATTGAGAGGTACTGTAAGTGTAAAATACCAGATTTCAGAGGCTCGGTACCAAAAAAGGGGGATATCTCATTAATAATTTATTACACTGATTATATGTTGAAATATTTTGGAGATATTGGGTTAAATAAAAATATCACTAAGAGCCCTGGCTGGTGTAGCTCAGTGGATTGAGCACGGGCCTGCGAACCAGACAATCGCGGTTCGATTCCCAGTCAGGGCACATGCCTGGGTTGCAGGCCAGTTCCCAGCAGGGGACCCAGGAAGGGCAACCATACATTGATGTTTCTCTCCCTCTCTCCTTCCCTTCCCCTCTAAAGATAAATAAATAAAATCTTAAAAAAAAAATCCTATGGCATAATTAATAAAAATATTAAAAAAATATCACTAAGACTAATCTGACCCCCTTTTTTAATGTGACTATTAGAACATTTGAAATTACATGACTCACACTTTACACTATTTCTATTGAACCGGGCTAGACTATAGACTTTTACAGCTAAGAGAAATCTCATAGGGGACACCTCAAATCAGTATTATGGAGCTTCAGAACCCCCTTGAATTCATTTACACTTGGGTTGTGGACAAAAACATCCTTGATACAGTCAGAAGTTGTCACCAAAAGACCCCTCTCCCTCAAAACAAGGGTCTGGGTGTCCAATCCTGATTCACTCACCCCTCACATCCGTTCGTGTCTTCTGTAAACTGGGGCTTATGATAATACTATGTGCCAGGGACTATTAGGTAAGCGAGTGTTTTGCTCCAAGCCTAAAAGCAGGGCTCTTAGTCTCTCCTCCGACTCTGAAAATGCGGATATGCGGGAGACCAAAAGGCATTCCTTAGTTTAAAGGGCACAACTTGCAGCTGAGTGACAGAAGGCCAGGAAGGACACCCCTCACCTCACAAGGGACCAGTTGTGATCAGAGGACCCAGCTCAAGTCCAGGCTCCCCTACTTGCTCGCCGTAGCTTTGGACAGGTGAGTTCAAGTGTCTCAACTCGGGTCTCCCCTCCAGTTCAAACCTGGGGTGAGGCTTTGGAGATCCAAAGTAGTAGTTCTTTGCAGCTCTCCCATCCCACCTGCTCCCCATCCCACACTACGGGGTACGGCGACCTGCCCCGGTCCAAGACCCCAAAGTCTTGAAGAGGAAGGTCTGACCTTGGCTCTTAGGGAACCGATTAAGGGACCTTACCCTGGGGCACTTCAGGAAATACGGTCTTTTACGGTACTAAGAAATCACTTCCGGGTTAAAATATGCGAGTGGGCGTGACTCTGGAGGGTCCCTTCACCCCACCCCCGCAAACCCCCGTTCCGGACGGACGTTGAATATTCCTGCTATCCGAAACTTGCGGTTTTCTGGGTTCCGGTTGTTGACAGGCACCAATGCTTCCCGTTTTGCTTCACGTACGCTTTGCGCATGCTCAAAGCTCCTGCCCGCGGGTCCACCGAACAGTGTTTTATTCCCAAAAACTACATTTCCCAGAAGATGGCATGAGTGGGCGGGACTTCATCTCCCCTGGAGGAGGGGCGCGGTGCTCCGAGCGGACGCTGAGTCTGTGACCTCTTTTCTTTCTTTTATTTAATACGAAACTAGTGCGTCCGCACACAGGGCCCACGGCCAAGCCAGACCCTGTGCGAACAGAGCAGCTTGGCCTGGCTCCTTAAAAGGTGAAGCCGAGCTGCACTTGAAGAACGAGTGAGCCCCTTCCTGCCTCTTCTCCTGGAGTTTGGAACTGTCAAGCTCCAGCTCCCACCCTCTCTCAGGTTCAAGACCCCTGAGCTGCCCATGCTGTGGGGCCAGCCGTGCTTGGGGGCCTGGCGGGGCCTGCCTGGCCCGTGAGGATTTGCACCAGCAGGTCGGTGGCTAGCATGTGCGACGGCTCCTCGAAGCCGATGGTCAGCAGCTGCTGGTAGTCTCCAGGAGGCTGCGGACACACAATCCTGGGGGCCGGGGACAGACAAGTCTGGACGTGAGTGCCTCCTGCTTCTCGGGAGCCTCTCCCCTCCAGTGAGAGAGGCTGTAGCTGAAAGAGGCTTTGTTTCAGCCAGGGGTGGGAAGAATTCTGGGGGAAGGTGGTTTCTCTGTTGATGAGAAACCTAGAGGGGTAATAGCTCTGGGAGGCTGAACTACTTTATCCCTGACCTGGGCAATCACTCAGCTAGCTAGTTGTGTGTCCTTGGGCAGGCAACAACCTCCCTGAGCACCTGTTTCTTTGTAAAATGGGGCTAATAAGTATAGACCTCAATAAGTTTTTCAGGGCACAATAAAATGCTATCTTTATTACCAAGGTTAACAATGTTGGGGAGGTAGATGGTTTTTGGTGGGGTTCTGCCCTACCCTCCAGAGCCCACACCAGCCTTACCATCACCCTAGCTCCTACCAGGAATAAAGGTCATCTTCGGCTGGTCCTAGGGGCACCCATCGGCCGATAGACCACAGCTTCTGAATCTGGAGGCATGAATTGGCCGGACTTTTGCCCGTGTCTTCCCATGTATCTCGATAGCACAGGAAATAGCTGGGGCGGGGGGGGGGGGGGGGGCGGGGGGAGAGACAGTGATTAAGAGTAAGCAGTTTCCTAGTTTCTTCTGTTTAGGGCTTTAATTTTGGAGGTAAGGTAGAAATTCATCAGAAGTTGCTTCAAGTTTTAGGGGTGTGTGACTCAATACTGGGGCCCTTTCTCCCTGCCAGACTATTTTTAAGATGAGGACTTTTATTTTTGATTGGGGGATGAATTTTTTTAAAAGGTGAGGTTGGGGGCCCTGGCTGGTGTAGCTCAGTGGGTTGAGGGCGGGCCTGCGAACCAGACAATTGCGGTTCGATTCCCAGTCAGGGCACATACCAGGGTTGCAGGCTGGTTCCCTGCAGGCCAGTTCCCAGCAGGGGATGCATGAAAGGCAACCATACATTGATGTTTCTCTCCCTCTCTCCTTCTCCCCTTCCCCTCTAAAGATAAATAAATAAAATCTTAAAAAAAAAAAAAAAAGGTGAGGTTGGCCTTTCAAAGGTCCTTGGTTTCCTGCATGATTTTCCACACCTTGATGATGGTTGTTCGTTCAGTGGCCCACACTGGCACTCTATAAAGGGGGTGGGGACTTTGGTTCTGGTAAGCAGACTCACTAATCCACATGGGAATCTTGCCCCTGGCTGCTTGGCTCTGGGGTAGTTTCCAGGTTCCAACGCATCTTCTTATAGAGATACCGGGGAAAGCGGCTGGCGGTGTAGGCAGCAGGGGCACAGTATCTGAAGATGGACACCTCCTGGGAAGGACTGATGGAGAACCTCCCGCAGAAGAAGCAGGAGATGCTAGCAGGAGATGGGAGAGTAAGAAAGGACCCCTTTCTTGTGCCGTGGACCCCTCTACCTCCCACCAATCCCAGTCTCCCACCCTTTTACCTTAGGGGCTCTGTCTCCTCCAGGTCCACAAACCCAAAGGAGGCATACATGAGCACCAGCTGTTCCAGGCGCAGGGTCAGCTGTTGGGAGATCTCCAACAGCTGCATGGAAGAGGGGACATCTTAAGATTAGCTGACCTGCCGGGAGTACCTCCTCCCCCACCACCAGCCTGAGAGATGAAAAAAAGGGGCATGGGGTCTAAGAAAATGGCCCCACACACCCCCTTTCGAACCAGCTCCTGCAAGCCTCCATAGATGGGGGGCACACTCCGTGCAGCTGCTTCCAGGTACAGAAAGTAGGGCTCACACATCTTTAAGAAGGTGGGCATGGCCTTTGCCAGCTGTTCCTTCTGAACTCGGTCCCTGCTAAAGGGAGAAGAGGACCTTCATTTAGGGTCCCTCATCCCCCCTCGTTTCTCCCATTCTATTCACCCTCCACCTTTGTCCCTGATCTGGACCTCTGTTACAATGCTCCCACCCCCCAGCGACAGGCCTTTGTCAGAGCATCTTCCAGGACAGACTGCATCACAAGTATTTGAAACACTTGTTAGCAAGCTGACACCTGAATCCCATAACTGATTTTTGACTTGAAATTCTTGGCAGTGTGGAGCCCAGAAACCTAGGGTTTAAACAGCCTCCCAGAACCAGTCCCTTTTTCCAGGGGCTGGGAATGACAAGTCTTCTTTGGGGTCTCAAACTGGTAGCCAGCTGGCCAAATCTGGCTCAGATAGCTTTTATTTAGCCTGCTCAGGGTCCAAAACCTAAGCCATCAATTAAAAGCTGAGAAAAAGTCCTAGAGATTTGGCAACCTGGTGCCCACATAATATCAGACACTCCCTAACCCCAAATGGTACACATCTCGCATCATTCTTTCAAACTGGATTTCTAATCAGCCAACTTCATTCATTATCTCTGGCTCCTAATGGCTTTTAAGTTTGCGACTCTGGTGTGTTCCCCCTGCTTATCCAATCATCCTCCCCTCTGTCTGTATCCACGGGGATCCTGGGACCCTGTCCAGCAACACCTGTAGAGCAAGAAGCTTTGGAAATCATCCGCCTTCTTGAGCAGGTAGCGCAGCTGCTCGGTGATGGGGCTGAACATGGTGTCCAAGGGTAGGCGAGGTGTGGGCCCAGGGTCCAGGGCCAGAGGCTCCGGGGAAGGGGTAGAAGGGGAGGAGGCCTTGGGCAGCTGCCCCTGAAAGTCCTCTGGTTCCTCCTGGGCTGCATCCCCAGGTTGGTCAGGGGGCATCGACCACAAGGGGTCTTCGCAGGGCTGTGCCCCAGGTTCCAAGCCGTCTGAGGGCGGTGTTTCCCCAGTGCCCGCAGGGAGCGGCCCCACGAACCACTCCTCCGTAGCCATCGTGGGGCTGGAGGAAGGGATCGGAGCTCTTTAAATCCCCACCGCCTTGGTTGGCCGAGGGTTCGACCCCGCCCCGGGAACCTCTTACTCGCCCGGGCTGGGAGCACGGCCCAGTCCACCTCACCCCAGCTTCAACCTCTCCTCCGGCGCCGAGCCGCGCGCGGAGGGAGTTCGCCTCGTTTGAATTTCAACACGCAGGAGGGGCGCTCGGGGCAGCTCGGGGCAGCTCGGGTCTGCTCGGGTCCGCTTGGGCGCGCGCTCAAGCAATCAAACGGAGGGCGGCGGGCGGCCGGGTGGGGGTGGAGGCGCGGGCGCGGGGGCAACCTGGGCCGGCACTGACGCGGCCGGCCATGTCCTGGGGGTGTCGTCCGAAGGCCAACGCCTTTTTCTTCGAGGCGGTTTCCTGAGGAAGGGGTGTCTCTACAGCGCTTCCAAACCCTGGGGCGCAGGAATATAAAGGTAGACATCCTCCCACCACCCGCAGAGCCTCTGACTCCGGGACCCGGAATCTGTATTTTAAAAACTAACGGAGTTGAGAAAAACCACGTAAGAACTTAAGTAGGGACTTATAATGTAGTAGCTGTTACTATTACTAATAAAACTGTTCACTTGGAAAAAATTTCCCATTCCATGATCTCATTTGATACCGATCTCTTCCTATTTTATTTCGATATATTTAAAAAAATTTACTTTTAGAGAGGGGGAGGGAGGGAGAGAAACATAGATGTGAGAAATAATCTTTCATATGTACCCCAACAGGGGACCGAACCTGCAACCCAGGGATGTATCCTGACCAGGAATCAAACCCAGGGCGTTTTGCTTTGTAGAGCAAAGCCAAACCAAGCCAGGGCTGCCTTGTTCCTTTTATAGAGGATCTTGTAAGCTTGGGGATCCTGCCATGGATCCAGAACTGACCCCTGCTCCCACAGTTGTAGCATGAAAAGGCTGTTAGATATAGACATGTGAAGCCTAAAATACATTAATTATAAAGACTGGATAAAGTGCCCACAGGTGTTCCATCCCACCCTGTGTGACCCTCAGCAAGTATCTCTGCTGGAGGGAGCCAGGTGCCTTGTCTATAAAGTGGGTTTTTACACGCTCTGCCTCATGGGGCCACAGAGACAGCAGAGAATATGTAAGCCGGGTTAACTGCTAGTCCCTCAAACATTTGAGCACCTACTGTGCCTTGACACTGTTCTGGGTGGGGAGATCACAGAACGAACCAAATATTCCTGTCCTCCTAGAGCAGTCACTATTATAGCTGGCTGTGAGGCAGCCCCATTCACTGTCTTCCTCCAGGAACAACTCAGTCCTAATCCAACTCTCTCCAGAGGCTGGTGTGGCTCTTCAATGCCCCTCCCCCACTCCATTCATAAAAAGGGACTCCTGGTCTTTTTTTTTTTAAACTTTATTTAGAAAACCTTAGGTGCAATATTAAAAAGCAAGACAGCCAGCTGGAGCAAGAACTAACAGAAAGGGGAGGAGTAGGGAAGACCCACAGACCCCACCCCAGCTTTTCCTAGGGGATGGAGGCTGGGGACAGACTAAGAAGGGGCCTGGTTGGTGGGGGAGGGAGGAAAGACCACCCACCAAAATGAACAGGCAGAACAAATCATTTATATAGGAAACATCTGGCTGAACTGAAGATCTAGGCCCCCATTTTTCCCCCCAAAATGTCCTAGGCTTGGGGTAAGGGTTAGCCTCCTGGGGTGAAATGAGCAGGCCCTGTCCCATCCCACACTCCTCCGTTACACAGAGTGGGATGTACTGGAGGCCAGATGTGTGTGTTGGGGACACACTGGGAAGAGATGAGTAGGGAAGAGTGCCCCCTCATTGGAATCTGTTATGAAAACTGAGTGTCCCTGGTCCAACTCCTGGACGCTGGGGGTCTTGGGTGAGATGGGGCTGGAATGGGTAAGGACAAGGGCGAGGCTGGGCACTCAGCCTAGAAAGCCATCAGGGTCATCATCCTCAAAGTGGCCTTGCTGGAGCACCTTGATGTGATGCTCATAGATTTTCAGTGCTGGGCCAAGGCGGATGGACAGACCAGTTAGCACATCTGTCCGCTGCATGAGCAGAAGAGACTTGCCATCAATTTCCTGGGCACGAGAGAAAGAGAGAGAGAGAGAGACGAGAGTTCAATTTTATAGCAGACCCCCACTAAGGCCTTGGGATGGAGGGAAAGTCCGGGGTTGGGGACTCACCTGTTCTTGGAAAGCCGTTGCCTGCTCAGGGAAGCCTGCCTCTGTGAAATATTCTACCACATCCATCACTGTCCACTCTACGGGGTCAGCTGGCTTCTCTTTACGCCCAGAACTGTGTTGGAGCAGAGGGAACCAGTGAGCAGTGATGTTCCTCTGGTTCTGCCACACCACCTGGGCACCACCCTCATGTTTCAAACACCCCAACTTACGGACAGCCAAAGGGGGTCCCATCCACCCCAGGCAGGGCTGGTTTTCCTGGGGGCAAAGGCACAGGGGATGGGGAATCTGGTCCAGTGGCAGCAGAGACTAAGAAAGAAAAAGCATCTGCCTGTCGTTTTTTCTTGGGGCTTGGTTTCACCTCACCAGGCACCCTTCCCTACCCAGAGGAGTCTTACCTGATCCCCCTTCCTTATTCAAGGCTGCCATGGAGAACACCTGGCGGGTGCCACTGCCTGGTGCTGGTCCCCGCCCTTCATCCTGGCCCTGGTGGGGTCCACAGGGTGTCCACTCTTTGACCCTCTCCTTGGCACTCTGAGGCCCCCGCTCGCCATTAAGCTGGTGGTGCTGGGCACCTGCAGGACGGTCACTCTCAGGTACCTCGGAGCCCTCAGACACATTGTCTTCATCATCTTCGTCTTCATCATCATCTTCCTCTTCTTCCTTTTCAAGCAGTCGCTCTTCTCCACCTCTCTGGTGCCAGGGAGAAAGACCCAAAAGGTTAAATAGCTATTCTGGCCCTGGACCCAGTCCCTGAGATCCTGGACAGAGTGCTGTACCTAAGGGCCACCTTTAATATCAAGGCAAATTAACTTTTACACATTCACTCCGCGCCAACCTCTGTGTTAATAAAACCCCCAGTAGTCAAACCTCACTAAACTCGATCAACAACCCCAAGAGGTCGCTACTGATGCTAAGTCGCGTTTTAAACAAGAGGAAACTGAGGCTCAAAAAGATTAAGTCACTTACCAAGGTCACTTACGCACCAAGCCCACAGGGAAAAAGCGCAAAAACCCAAGCTGCCCGGTTCCTCCCGGGACTCGCGCCCCTGCCACCAACTTCGGCCGCACCTGCCCACCGCGCGGCGCCCTCCCTACCCAGCGCGCTCACCTTGCTTCGAGACGCTCGGGCGCTGGCGGCCGGCGGCGCCCGTCCGGGCCTCTCCCCGCGGGACAGCGCGGGCGCTCCGAGGCGGGTGCGCTCCAGGCGGACTCGTGCGGCCGCCTCCTCCTGCACGCGGCCACGGGTCAAGCGGCCGCCCGCACCGCCGCTGCCCCCGAGGTAGCGCACGACTTCCCGCAGGCTCACGGGCCGCGCAGGGCCGCCAGCCCGCGCCGCGCCCCCCTCCGGCGGCTGCTGTGGCTGCGGCGGCGGCTGCTGCTGCTGCTGTGGCGGCGCCGGCGGCTGTGGCGGCGGCGGCAGCGGAGGCTCCCGGGCGGCGACGGCGGGAGGGGGAGCGCGACGCGGGCCGGTCGGAGGCGCCACTGCCAGAGGAGCGGCAGGCGCGGGCGGCGGCGCGGCCAGGGGCGCGGCCCGCTGCGCGCGGGGGCCCGGCTGCACGGGGCCGGGCGAGGGGGGCGCTGTGGCGGCAGCGGCCGCGGCCGCCGCGCGGGGCGCCCGGGCCGGGGCGGCGGGGGCGGCGACGGGCGCGGGTGGCGGCGGCGGCGGGGCGGGCGTGGGCGGCGGCGCGGCGGTGGCTGGGCCCCCACGGGGGGCGCGCGGTGGAGCCGGCGGGGTGGCTCCGCGCCGGGGCGGCTGGACGCGCGCCGCGTTGCGGTACGAGATGCTCCCCTTGTAGCTGACCCGGAGCACGGCGCGCTGCTGGATCAGTTTCTCGAGCTCGGCGCGCGTGCGCTCCGGCTCCGGGCCGTGCCGCCGCCGCACCATCCGGCAGATGCGCTCCAGGTCCGGCCGCGCCTTGCGCGAGCGCAGCGAGTCGATGGTGTCCAGGATCCACTCTTGGTAGTGCGGAGAAGCAGCGGACGACGAGGCAGCGGCCGCCGTGGTGGCGGCCGCCGCCGTCTCCGGCGGGGGTAGGGCCGGGGGCCCCGCCATGCCTCCCGCCCGGCCCGGCTGCACCGTGCGCGCTGCCTCCCTCCCAGCGCGGCGCCCCCCTCCCCACCTCCCCTCCCTCCGCCGCTGCCCGCCTCCTCCTCCTCCCCCCCGGGGGCGCAGCGCCTCGGCGGAGCGGCGGCGGCGCTGCTGTTTCTTTGCAAAAAAAAAAAAAAGAGAGAGAGAGAGATAGAAAACAGTGAGAGAGAAAGAAAAGAGAGAAAAAAATGCACACACTCACTCACTCGCACGCACGCACACACAGACCCGCTTCTGCTGGGCGCGCGCGGGGCCGGGGATGCGAGGAGGGAGGAGGGGAGCGCGGCGCGGCCGGCCCCTCCCCGCCGCCGCCGCACGCGCGCCCTGCGCCCGGGACACTCCGGCCCCCCTTCCTTCCCTCCCTCCCTCCGCCCCGCCGCCCGCCTTCCTCCCTCCCACCCCCACGCGCCCGCTTTTAAGGTGGAGCCCGGGCCCCCCGCCCGCCCCCTTTACCCTGCGCTCTAGCTCACTCCAGCTCGCACCGACCCCCCCCCCTTACAACTCCCGCGCGCTTTTTAAGGAGGCGCCGCGGAGTTGGCGCCGGGGCGGGGGCGGGGGAAAGCGGCGGGCGGGGGAGGGGGAAGGGAGCGCTGGGGGAGGGGGAGGGGAGAGGGGACGGGCTGGGCGGACGGGCGGCTCTCGGCCGCCCTCCAGCCATTGGGCGCGGGACCCAGACGTCCCCGGCGCCCAGCCCCCATCTCCACGCCTCCCAGGCGCGCTCCGCTCTCGGGACCGCACTTACCGGGAATTTGCCGCTCGCAGGTCGAGCTGCTGTGCTTGTTCGGTGCTGCGGGAACCCTCGGGTCGCAGCCACCTCGGTGGCCCTAGGGTTGAAAAGGCGGGGCAGGGGACGCGCACCGTCTTTTCCACCCTGACCGCTCCCAACCCGGGTTGCCCCCCTTCCCACAGCTCTGCCTTCCAGCGCGCCAGCCCCAGAGTCTCCTTGGAGCTCCCTTTTGGCCCGGGGCTGTACGCAGAGGGGTCACGACGCAAACATGGGGAACCCTGAATTCAGGGTTATAGGACAGTTTGGCGCCCCCTTCTTCTGCTGGGCCTGGTGGGGAGTGGCGGAAGTCAGCTAAACCTGGTTTTACAGGGACTCCAGACCAGGTCCCGATAAGCCTGACGCTGGGGTGCGAAATTCCCTTTCTAGCCTTCCCGGGGGTGTGTGGGTGTGTGTATATGGGGGTGTTTGACCAAAGTCGGGAACACCGGCGACACTTTTTTTTAAACAAAACTTTATTGGTAATAGTTTTCAAATATGTTTACAACAGCACACTGTTCAAGAGGAAGTCACGTCCTTCCCAGCACACCGGTTGAATCACCCTGCGCCCACCCGGGGCCCCACCCCAGGCCTGAGAGCTCCTCCTGGGATGGGGAGAAATTATGAGAGGAACAGATTTGGAGTTTAATAGGGGCTCCCCACTTTTCTATTGAGAGAGAAATGCACAAGTGGAGGAAGGGGTGACAGCTGACAGCTAAGCAGAGGAGCACCCAGGACGAAGGGGCGGGGCTGTTGGGTGAATAAAACAGCCTCTCCCTAGCAATCCTGGCCTTGAACCGGGCGGAGGTGGGCATTACACCACATCCTTTTGTGGGGGTCAAGGGAGGGGTTGCCTTCCCAACTGAGCTGAGAGGAGGCTGGACATTAAAATCTAGCTGAGAATAAAATTCAGATGTTTGGGAAGTACTGCTGGGAGAAAGATCCTGGGCTTGGGGCTCCCCCTCTATCTTTTGGGGGACAACTCCTCTTTGGCAAGGAGAGGGGCAGCTGCTCTGGGTCCCAAAGCCCAAGGGTGAAGAAAGGTCTATTGGGACAGGAGGTGGTAGGGGATTCTTAAAGGGGCTGAGTTAACCCCTTGGCCGGGGAGGGGGGATTAGCAGCTTGGGGGAGAGGTTAGAAGCCCAGCTCTTTCCTTTACAAGTCAGTCTGCTTCCCAGCCTTGTTAAAATGGATCTGGGGGGGTGAAGGGATGGGAGGAGAGCATAGGAAGTTGGGAGGGAGGCACTGGTGGAACTTAAATAAGTTTGTAAATTGTTTTTTAAAAAATTCTAGCAAGTAGCCCATTGCACATGTCACTAAAATCTCTCCTTCCTAGTTCCTTTGAGTGGAAGGTTGGCCATTCTTTTCTCCCTTATCAAGTTTGCTGGTGGTTTGGTGAGGGAGGTGGGGAGTGAAAGGGGCTGGAGTTAAGTTTGGGCCCCCTTTTCCACACCCTATCCCTGGATACACTAGCAAGACCTGGTCTGACTAGATCTGAGACACATTTAAAACAGGCAGAAATGGGCTGCGGTGGAGGAAGGCAAAAGCATCAGGGAGGGCAGGAGGGCAAAGGGGGTGAGGGGGAGCAGCTGGTGTTTCTGTCCCTCTGAATATCTGGGCTTCCTGCTCCCCTACCCTGGAGGTTGGGGTGGAGGTGAAATTAGATGCTAGGAACTCTGGGGCCCTCTGGCTGTTCGATCCAACCCTCCCACCCACCTCCCACAAAAAAAGAAAGAAAACCCTTGGGGGTACAGGCACACCCCTAAAACTCAGAAAACTCCTTGCCACACTTCTCATTGATGGACACTCGGATCTCTTCCTCTTCATAGTCGTCAAAGTTACTTGTGTCCCCAGGGCCTTTAAACTTTGGTATGAAGGGAGCTTCCACCTGGAGAGGGGTCAAGAACCACCCAGACCTCAGCAGTCAACATAATCCTTGTGAAAACAGTAAATACAAATGGCCTAACATTCATGAGGTAATTTAGTTGGACTCAGGCCTAAGCTTAGCATTAGGGTGTGGACTCACCTTCACCCCCAAATCTTATAGCCACCTCACCAATGGGGAAATGCCTCTCCAGAAGACTGTCTTCTGCCCAATGACCCCACAATCCCATTTCTAGAACCCCACTGCTCTAAGCTGTCCCAGTTAGCAATGATCCAGAGCCCATGACCCACTTGCAAATTCTTCTCCCCTTTCCATCTCTCCACTGGCAGCCTTCCCTGGTTCTTGGCCTGCCCCCAAAGCCCTCAGGATACCCAGATAGGGGGCCCCACCTTTCTCTGGTAGATGGCAATCCAGTCAGTTGTGGCAAACCATTTGTGGTTCTTGATGTCGTTCACCCCGTTCTTGAGGTTCCCGAAGCGCTTGGTAAGATCCACCTGCAGGAGGTTCCGCAGCAGATCCTTCAAGTCAGAGCTGAAGTGGGAAGGGAACCGCACCTGAGGGTGGGGGTGGGGGTGGGGTGACACAGACAAAGTTGGAAACCAGCCTGGAACTTGGGGACCCATAACACTGTCTTCACTATCCAACAGTCCTATGGGGCAGAAGACCAAGTTAAGTGTGCACTGGAATCCCATTAAAACAGTTAATCAGGCCAGTTGGAGTTTCTGATTCAAAAGGTCTACATTGGGGCCTGGCATTTCTGGCTAGTTCCCTGGCTATGCTGATGGTGCTGCAGAAGGGGCCACCTTGAGACTGTCATTCCAAGTTAAGTACTGTGATGGTTCCCATTTGAGAGAAGAAACTGAGGCTTGGAAGGGTTAGACAGCTTGCCCACGGTCACGCAGAGGAGCAGGATAGGGTGGCTCCATCTTGGGTCTGTTAGACTCCAGAACTTGTGTTTTTAGCCACTGTTTCCTAAGGTGGCTCTGCTGGGGTCTGAAGACTTCAAAAAAAAATCCATGCTTATGAGAGAGATAATTGTTTTTCTATTTTGCTCTCTGCATAGCTATGGCTTTCATTATTTAAAGCTCAGTTCGAATCTTCCAGAAATTTTCCCAAAATGTTCTGAACTCATGGTCTCATATGCAACTATTCACTGGATTCATAGCTACAAGAACCAATTTCCAGCACTGCTCTGCCTCTTACAGGCTGTGACCTTGGCCATGGCCTTTAACCTCTCTGGGCCTGTTCTTGCCTTTCTGGCATGGGGCAGATATCCCAGGGTTGCAGGAGGGAGATAATACTGCTGAGGGTGCGTGGGAACTGTGAAATGCTACAAAGAAGGGAGTTATGCTCTTCTCCTCTTCCCCCTTGGAACCTTCTACGGCTTTTTCTTTGTTTTCTGCATTCCCAAATTGGGCCATTCTCTTGGCAATTTCTATTGTGCCTGGTGGCAGACACCTCACCTTTCCCTTTTTCGTGCCCCCACTATGCAGTTGGTGATTTCCCTCCACCTCTCTGAGAGGCAGGTGGCTGGTTCCTCAGTTCTCAGGTGGGTAAGATGAGGCTCAGAGGGGGAAGGCACTTGCACGAGGTTTCAAAGCCAAGGGGTGGCCAAGCTGGACCCTGGAGTCAGGTTGATGCACCCGGGCTGAACCAGGAGTTGCTTCCACCACTTCCTGGGCCAGGTGGAGGAATGGTTGTGTCCTCCCCGTGAGATGGGAGAGCTGAAGACAAAAGTAGGGTTCCCAGCCTCTCTTGGGCCCTCGGATCTTGGACCAGACATATCCACTCTCCACACCTCAGCTTCCTCAGTCCCTCAGAGTGCTGGGTAGGACAGGGGGCAGTACACTGGGGCAGTACACTGGAGCAGTGGGTGCTCAAGGCACTCTGTAGATGCTAGCTCTAACAGTCCCCTTGCCTGCATACTCCGAGTTATGAACTCCGCATCTGAGAAAGGGAATATGGGGAGCATACCCCCAATATCCCCAGTGGGTCTGGGAAACAGATCCATTAGCTTTTCTGCTATGGAACTTGTGAAAACTCACACTAAGAGGTATATATGACTAGGGGTGAGTACAGCCTCACATAGCATAGGGCAAGAGGGCAGGTGAGACTTGGAGTTTTGGAAGCCATTGGGAGATTGGCATTATAGGTCCAGAAATAGCCAGTGAGGTTGTGTGAGGTGTTCATCTCAGTTAGTATGGCTGATACACCTGGCTTCAATGTATGGCTTGACAATGAACTTCTAGACAGTTCCAGCAATAATGGTGGGTGGGGAAGGGTCTGTTCTGGGCAGAGCCCCTGCATCCAGGCCTTACCTTCCCAGAAACAATCTTCTCATAGATCTGAATGGGCTGGTCAGCAAAGAAGGGCGGGTAGCCGGCTGCCATCTCATAGATGAGAACCCCCAGGGCCCACCAGTCCACAGCCTTATTGTAGCCCTGGAGTAAGAAGGGGGTGTATGATGAGGAGAAAAGGGTGAGGAGGAGGCATGGGCAAAGTGGGCCTTGGGGAGGGGCAGGGAGGTGCCTACTTTGCTCAGGATGATCTCAGGGGCCAGGTACTCGGGGGTCCCACACAAGGTCCAGGTGCGGCCCTTCACACGCTTGGCAAAACCAAAGTCTGTCACCTGTGGGTACAAGTGTGGGGTTGGACGACAGGGAGGGAAAGAAGGTCCAGGTCACAGCCACCAGGGGCTCTCTTTTGCCCCACCCAGCAGTTACCTGAATATAGCCCTGTTGGTCTATGAGAAGGTTCTCCGGCTTCAGGTCCCGGTAGATGAGATCCAGTGAGTGCAGGTACTCGAAGGTCAGGACAATCTGGGCAGCATAGAAGCGGGCATGGGGCTCGCTGGTGGGGACAGGTAGAGAGGATGGGTGAGCAAGGGTGGCCATGGTCAGAAGGAGCCACCCACCCCCAAAACTGTCTAGCAGGTGGGCCTACAGAGTGGCCTCCAGCCCAGCTATCCAAAATGGGTAAGACGAGCCCCAAATGGGCCTTATTCACACAGAGCTCCAAACTGGAAATAGCCAGATGTCCATCAACAGAATAATGGCGTCACATATTGTGACAGATTCATTCAATGGAATACTACCCAACACTGCCCTAGGACAAATGATTAATATGTCGGGGTGATCTGCCAAGAAAGGCACTCGAGGGAATTTTCTGGGGTGATGGAATGCTCAGTATGGTGTTTTGGATGGAGGTAACACAAATGTATGCAACTGTCAAAACTCATGGAACAGGCTAGGAAGACCTGTGCATTTTAGTGTATATAAAATGCATAGCTATGTACATAGACAAAATAAGACAGTAGCATAAATTTAAAAACTGCATAAAGTCGCCAACTTAAATGGTGATACCTAAGTTACCGCGTTTGTTGTTTTATGGCAGTTGAGTCACTGCAGATTCCTCAGCTCAGGGGGGAACGAGAACCCACAGGGACCTGGACAGGCCACCTCTATGTCCCCAGAGGACTTGGTTGTGTGATGTTGCCTGTGGACACTCCCAGGCCCGGTGTGGCTGCAGGGGCGTTCACTCACCTGAACCTTCCGATCCGCCGTAGGTGTGAGAACATTTCCCCGCCAGGCACATACTCCATGACCATGTATAAATTTGAGTTGTCCTGTGGGGAGCAGCAACTGATCAGGGACCTGTTCCCCAAGTGCTGGGCCCTACCAATCTAGGCTCCTATATGAAGCACATGCCAAGCACCAGGCACTTGGCTCACTGAACTACCTGTCTCCTTTCCCTCTGCCCACGAGGAAAGAGGAACAGCCATTATCTTGTTTACAGGGGTGGTGGGGGACGGGTCTGGTAGGGGACATAAAAGTGGGGGCTGGCTACAGGAACCTGGGCGGGAGAGGGGGTTCCATGGCAGCTCATGTATGTGACTGTCCTGAGTAAGGCTCCTAGGCCACAGTTTCATCATCTGTAAAATGGAATCAGGATAGGATACAGAATTTGGGCCAACCCCCCAAATAAAAGTGTGCGTCTTCTTGCTAAAAAAAATGATTATGAATTTCAAGACAGCAGCAGTAGGGCATGACAGCAAGCACGGGCCCTTGTGACTGCCTGGGTGGCAGGCCCCAAGTAGACTTTCACAACTCTTGAAGTCCGGCTTAGGCCAGCACCCAAAATAGTTCACACAGGGCACTCATGGTATGTTTAGAATGGTCATGGCAACCTTCTGATCCCCAGTTTACAGATGAGAAAACTGAGCCTCAGGGCAGAGAAGTCCCTCACCAGGGTCAAGTGGGCAAGGGGTGCTAAGCTAGGACTTGAACCCAGGCTGTGTGTCAGGTTTTTGTAGACAGAGCAGTGATTTTTGAGGGATGTCATCCAGGTTGAGTGACATGAACATCCAAGGTTATCAAGTAGACAGACCCAGTGGTGGAACTTGGGTGTATCAGAGCCCCAGCTGACTGTACCCCACATCAGTGCGTGGGCCCACCTTCCAGGGCAGTCACTGGTTGTCCTCAGCCCCCCGGCATGGTTTCCCTCTCTGCCCCCTCTACTCGCCAATGGCTGGGACCCAGCATGATGACCCCAGTCCCACCTTGAAGGAGAACTCAAGTCTGACAAGGAACGGAAAGTTGACAGCCTGTAGGATGCGCTTCTCGTTCAGGGTGTGCTCGATCTGTTTCAGCTTCACCACCTGCAGGTGGGAGGGGTGGAGAGGGGGAGGTATGAGAGGGCCCTCATACCCTGGCTCCTGGAAGTAGGGGTGCCAGGGCCGGGGTTCCTGTGAGTGTTTGTGGCCTGTGGAGCCTTAGGTGTGGTGCTGAGGACACAACAAAAAAGGCTGCCCCAGGCTGCCTGTCCCCACATAGCACACAGTTCAGGGCAAGAACACATGAGTCCCGGGGCCTCTAAGCCCAGAGGGATCAGAGCCATGATGGGGGAAGCTTGGGGCCTGAGGATGCCCAGATGAGGTGCAGGGCAAAGTCTGGGGCAGGGGTAGTCAGCGAAGGCTTCTTGGAGGAGGGGCAGCAGAGCTGAACACCGAAAGACAGGCAAGAATAGTGCCCAAGGAATACGGGGTTTACAAAACACTCCTCTGCATCTAGATAGAGCGTCCTTACACATCCACCTGAGCCACAGGCTAATTCTTCCACAGCCCTTGGCTATCTCCAACCCACGCCTCGTACGTAGTGATGGGAACCGTGAGGACTATGTACTGTGAGCATGCCAGTTCTGAAGCCCAGAGAAGGACAATGACTTGCCTAAGGTCACAGGCAGCTAGTTAACGGCTAGCTGGTGTGTCACACACAGGCAGCCTGGCTGTTCAGTTAGCTCTGAACCCTTGTGCTGGGGCCTTTTCTGCTTTGCTCACAGCTGTATCCTTTGAGTCTGTACCTGCACTGCCCAATACCATGCATGCTAGCTTTGTATGGCCGCTGAGTGCTTAAACGTGGCTGGGAGACTGCGGAACTGAGTTTAACATTTTAAATATCACCCTGGCTGGTATGGCTAAGTGGACTGAGTGCCGGCCTATGAACCAAAACATCACAGGTTCTATTCCCAGTCAGGGCACATTGCCTGGGTTGGAGGCCAGGTCTCCGGTTGGAGGCCTACAAAGGGAAAATAACTGATGTGTCTCTCTCACATAGGTGTTTTTCTCCCTCTCTTTCTCCCTCCCTTCCCATCTCTCTAAAATAAATAAATAAAACCTAAAAACTTTTTAAATACCTCAAGTGAACATTTAAAAACTAACACTTGAGCCCTGGCTGGTATAGCTCAGTGGATTGAGAGCGGGCCTGTGAACCACACCATCGTGGTTCGACTCCCAGTCAGGGCACATGCCTGGGTTGCAGGCCAGTTCCCAGCAGGGGACTCATGAGAGGCAACCACACATTGATATTTTTCTCCTTCTCTCCTTCCCTTCCTCTCTAAAGATAAATAAATAAAAAATAATAATAATAAAAAAATAAAAACTAACACTTGACATAGTTACTGGGCAACTTTTAAGCTTGTCTGGAACAACTTGGGCAATGCCAATCTGCTTTTCTATCTTCTCTACTTCTGTTTGTCTTTCCATTGAAAATTTAATATCAGAACAGAGATATGTTGACAGTGTAAAATGCACACTGGATTTTGAAGACTTGGTATGGAAAAAATGTAAAATGTCTCATTAATGATATTTTACATTGGTTACATACACGGAAATGATAATAGATACACTGGGTTAATTACAAAATAGTGTTAAAATGCAGTCCACCTGTTTCTTTTAAGGGGGCTTCTAGAAAACTTAAAATCATACGTAGCTTGTGTGCCATTTCCACTGGACAGCACTGCTTTGGAGTAGTGCCTGGCATAAGCAGGGTGTCAAAAATATTTACAGAAAGCAGGTCTATGTAAATACCACCTCCCCCAGGAAGACCTCTGGCTTCCTGAAATACAGGTTAGGTGTCTAACCCAGTGCCTGATTTCCCTTGATGGTTGACCTGAAAGGGAACCTCGTGAAGGCAGCATGGTGTGCCCTGTGGCCCTCAGATCTGCCACATGATGGGGGCTCAAGAGGTAGGTGGTGAATGTGTGCATGGGAACAGTTCTCCAGGCAGCAGGTAGGGCTGGGCTGCAGGGCAGAGCTGAACTCACCTTCTGTTTGTCCAGGATCTTCATGGCAAAGTGGTTCCCAGTCTCCTTGTGTTTCACTAGCATCACCCGCCCAAAGGAGCCCGTGCCAAGGGTCTTGATTCGTTCAAACTGATCCAAATGGGCTGTATTCTATGGGTGGAGGGGTTGGGAGAGTCAGAGACACTCCTCCCTGTGGCCTACTGGGCCAAGGTCTGGGGCATCTTCTCTGCCACCAGCAGAGGAGACTCTGAGGAGCAGGGGGAGTGATGGGTCGAGGACAGGGGGCGGAAAAACAAGATGGCGAAGGGCACATTCCTTGAGGCAAGTGGCAGGGGCCAGATATGGCCCTGGCCGGGGGCCCAGGACCTGCCAGCAGCTGTGTGGGACAAGGGGCCACCAGATGTAGGGAATGGTAGGGTGACAAAGCCTGGCAGTGGGTGACTGGGTGCCTCTGCCCAGGAGCCCCCATGGGTGTCTAGGCACCCTCCGCAGGGCCCTGAATCCTAGCCACGTCACAGGGATAGAGCTGGAAGACAGGGTAATCGGCTCACCCCTCCCAGGGCTCTGTACCCAGGGGGCTTACCTGAGCAGGATTTTCCCATTTTTTAAGAAAATCTTCTTTGGCTTTGGCTAAGAATTCTTTCACTGGAAGGGAAAGAGGGGTGAGTTAGATGGAGACCCCATGTCCCTGGGGCAGGCCCAGCGTATTTCTGGGGAGATGCCCACTTGTGGAAAGTGGGGTACAGCTATTTCAACCAGAGTCTCATTTTTTCTTTCCCAGACACTTTGGGTACCCTGGCTGAGTCTGAAGGCAGCTTGGTGGGGTGCTCTGATCTGGCCTGGGGCCTGGGTCCCCTTTACTACAGAGTGGTGGGACCCAGCTTCAGGTCTTCCAAAATGAGGTACAGTTGGGCAACTCAGGGGTCACTCTCAGGGGGACAGAAGGCAATACCCAGGCCAGCCCACCCCCACTTGCCCCAGTTCTGACCGACATTCCACGGCCAGGGACGACGCCAGCCGAGGTATTTATAGCCTCAGGATTTGGCTGTTCCTCAGGCCCCTTCTCTGGGGAGGCTGGTCAGGGTGGAGGCCTCTGGGGCTCGGGTAGCAGGCGCCCTTGGGGGCTCAGCTGTCGCCTGGGTCCCAGCTGGGCCTGTTCCCACTTTTGCCAATTCAGTGGTCCTGGCTCCAGAGCTGGTTCTAGGGAAGCCTCACCTAATGTCCACTCCCCAAGGGCCCCTCTGTACCCCAAGAATAATTTCTCAGTGGGCAGACCCTGAGCCTGCTGCTTTGTCTCCACTATCTCATTAGATTAGCTCGCCAACTTTCCTTTTATCCTTCTTCCCATTTAACACTCCAAGAAACTGAGGCTTGAAAAGAGTCATCCTTGCCAGCGCCCTGAGGCAGCCCAGCAAATCAGTGAAGGACCAGGACTCTGGGACTGGGATCAAGCTCAGATCCCAGTCAGAGCCCTGATAAACTGTGTGACAGTAGGCAACTAACTTTACTTCTATGGGCCTCAGTTTTCCTCATCTGTAAAATGGGAATAATAACCGTAACGAGCTGGTGGGGTGGTTGTGAGGACTGAAGAGTTAATCTTGGCAAAAGGTGTTGGACAGTGGCCTGCATGAGGATCATGACAGTTGCCACATAACTGTCAACTATTAATTTTGCTTTCAAGTGTTTAAAAAATTGAGATATAAAATACAGGTGATACATTGAGTGCTCAGATCTTAAATGTGTGGCCTGATGGATTTGTATATTACAGAGTTATTCTTGTAACTAGCCCCTGGGCTAGGGGCTGTGCCTGTGTGCCAGCCCCATGCTGAACACTTTCTATGCTTAAGTCCTACCCTGATAGCTCGGAGCTGCTATTATTCTCCTTGTACAGAGGAGAAGACTGACCAGGCCTGAGGTTGCCTGCTGGACCCCACTGCTCACAAATTAACTGGTTTGCTCCTGACAGGTCGTAGTGCACTAGGGTGACCCACAGACAGACCTGTCCTCAATCCCTGATGTGCTTGGATGGTTGCCACCCTGAGGGGTCCTGCACATTTGTACTTTGGCCTTGCCTGTCACCTGTGTGTCCCACACATATGGAGTTCCAGGAGTCCCACACAGCCTTTTTGGGTAGCCACCACTCCTCCAATGTCCCCAAGGCTCTCCTTTAGCATTCAGACAGAAGAGGCTTCCATGGGGCTATAAGAGTGGCAGATGGAGGAGAGACCACTGATCATGAAAGTCCTATAAAGAATGACTGGGCAAAGAGAGGGCAGTCAAGGAATGGTCAGGAGTATACTAGGCTGGTGCCTGGCTGGGCCACCAACTGTCTGAAAGACCTCTCTGAATCTGGGGATGGCACCACATCCAATGCTTTCCCTAGCAGAATCTTTTCTGACATATACCACCTTCCTCAGATACTCCAACATACACACTAAATTCTGAATGAAGATGGAGGAGAGGGTACCCTCTTGGAACTCTTAAATTCACCCATCCAGGAAGGTAGGGAGAAGTGGGCTCGTGAGGAATCCAGAATGCCTGCTCCGACTTTCCCTTTTGCTTTCAGCCAACCCAGAGAACTGCCATCTCCTGCTTTTATGACTTGGGTACCCCACTAAGAGACTCCACAGGGTGCCTTGGTCCTAGCACAGCTCTTCCCTGTACCCTCTGGTGCTATCGGCTTGCCAGATTTGGGGCTGGGGCACAAGGGAGGGGCAGTGCCAGGAGGAACAGGCAGATAAAGAGGAATGATGGAGGGACCCCCAGCCAGCAGCCCCATACTCACCTCTGCTTTCCGCCTCCTCCAGCAGAGGGTGCAATGGAGGTTAGGGGTAGAGTGGGATGGGATGATCTGGGGCTTGTCTGCCCCTGACCAGGGAGGCTCAGGGTGCTGGCTGCGGCTTAGGTGCCCAGAGGGTGTGGCGCAAGTAGCTCAGGAAACGAATAGTCAGGTGGGCCCAGAGGAGTAGCTGTAGCCATAGCTGGAAGGTGGTCTCTGAGTCCCCATCCTGGCCATTGCCTGACCCCAGATCCATCCTAGGCTACACTAGGATCTCCCTGGAATCTTCTCTACGCTGGAGAACCAGGTACATGCAGAGCTTCCATGCTGGTTTCCTCAGGAGGGCCTCAGGGGACCCCAGAGGAGGAGTTAGTTGCCAGGGAAGCGTTTAAAGGTACCTGCTCCTGGCTGGCCAAGATTTGCAAAGGCCCTCCTTGGCAGGAGGAGGCAGTGGGAAGCTTCTCCCCAGGATATTCCTCCTGGCTGGCCTGTCCATCCCAGGGGTGGGGTGTTAAAACTAACTTCCCATTCCAGGGACTTCACTGCTCCCAGGGTGACAGACCCTGCCTTCCCCAGTGGGTGTTAGACTACCCAGAAGATGGTACCCGATGTGCCCAGGGCACTGCCCAGTGGGCAGAGAAGGAGTTAAGGCTTAGGCCCCGGCAGCAGCCAGGGGCTCCCCGGGGGCTAAAGAGGCCCCTGAGCTCCATTAATTAGCAGAAATAGCAGCTGGAGAGAAAAGGCAGGGAAGGGAGTGGGGGTGGGGGTTAGAGGGTACCAGAGCCACTTTGTCTCCTCCCCAAATCCTGCTACCCTGAGAGAGAAATGGGTACATCTGGCTTTTTCTTGTTCCTACGCAGAAGCGGAGAGTGGAACGGCATCCTGGGATGTCCTTGGCCTCTGTCAAACCTTGCCCTGTGCTTGGCTCTACTCTAGGCCATGGAAGCCCAAACCGGAAACAAAAGGCTAAACCTAGGGCTGGGGGAAGGGGAGGCTGCCCTTACCATCTTCCTCCTTCTTTCCAGATCCCAAAAGAAGTGGAAGGTCAGTGGCAGCTTCTCCCAGAGTGCCCAGCACCCGTGGCCCTTCTGACAACAGGAAGTGGCAGAGAAGGGAAACCCAGCCAGCTGCTGACTTGTGAAACCTGCTGCCCTGTCCATTTCTTCCACAGGGAAGATGCCAGCCTCCAACCCAGTTTGGATTTGATTTGGGATCATAAAGAGAACCCCAGACACCCTTCAAAAAGCCAGGACCACAGCAGGAAGCAGGAGCCCAGCCTTAGATTTCCGAGACAAATCTCAGTACTCTCTGCCCACCCAAACCTGGTTGTCCAAGTAATTCTGGGGCGGGGATGTGAAACCTGGGCTGGGACCCCTACTGCGGGCTGGCTGATTCGCCCAGTCTAGCTTGGATCCCCTGCTCTGAGCTGGAACATCCCCCAGTCTGAGCTGGACCCCAACACTGGGCAGGACCACTCCAGTCCAATGGATCCCCATTCTGTACTGGACCATTTGACCTTAACTCCATCTGGACATCCCCGTTCTAACCTGGACTCCATCACTGAGCTGGACCCCAACACTGGGCTGGACTACCCCACTGCCTTGCTCTGAGCTGGACCCTCATCTGGGTGGTCTGTACTCCCTTGCTATTCCCCAGGCCCCCAGCCCAGAGTTGTAAAAGGGAGGGGTTCCAGGGCCAACCAGAAGTCCACAGACTTTTTCTCTCTATTTGCTCCCCAAACCCTACTGCAGCCCCTCCTTGACTTCAGGGGCAGAGTGCCTGGAGAGTTGCTATAGCAACAGGGTTCAGCCTCACCATCGTTGGGATTGGAAGCCATCACTCAGTCTTCCTCTCAGGGCACCAGAACTATGGTGGCTGGGAAGGCTCAAGAGACCTGCTGCACCAACTTGGCTGCCCATCCCCAGAAACCTGCCTATAGGGGGAGTCAGGGAGTTGTGGGGGTGGTGACAGGAAAAGAAACCCAACCTGGGCCAGGGGGTGCAGGGGAGGGACAGATAGGAACCTCAAGTTTCTGTAGGCCTGACTGGGCTACGGGGAAAAAGTGACCTTGGCAACATCCTCTTGGGCATCCTTACAACTGCCAATGCACAGGTGTTCGACTCTCCTGTGATTCTGTAGGATATTAGACCGTGGCAATTCCCATCCAGAAACTTCTTGGGGCCACGTTTCACTCTTAGAACCCAGATCTGCTTGTTTCTAGGGTCTGCGGGAGGTGTCTGGGGATTCCCTTTCACCAGCCCTACCCCTTCCCCCATGGGCCAGTTCGCAGGGGTGATTTTGGCCAGTGTCAGCCAAGGCCTGAGCCCCACTTGGCTGCCTATCCCAGGGGCCTCTTGGGGCCACTGCCCTCTCTCAATTTCTCCAGTTTGCTCAGAGCCAGGTGCTAGGACTTTTTGCTCTGCTGTCTTAGCATCTTGCCCAGGTCCCTGCTAACGGCTTTGGCATCTTTGGGTACAGATTTCCCCCACCCCACCCCAGGGCTTGCTCTAGACAGATTCCTGCTCTTTTGGGGGGAGGCTGACACTGCATTGCCCTGGCACCAGACAGCAGCACAGGGGGTTGCAGGGTCCCTAACTAGTGCCTATTAAAGCTTGGCATTCTTCTTACCCTAGTATGGCTGGCATCTAGCAGATGAAATTCAGGTGCCCCCTGCAGGCTGGCCTGGCTACTGCCCCTAACTCCCACCCCACACCATCCCAGTTATAAGAGGGCACATTTTGTATGTAACTCCATCCTTTCAGAATGAGAGTTCCAAGCAAAGAGGGGCTTCCTTCTTCATCCTATTCCTTCTCTGAGAGCCCCTGCAAGTCCCTGGAAGGAATTACAGCCTAGGGCATTTCCCAAAATGTGACATGGGTCCCAGTGGCATGGCATGGAATTTTAGGGATGTTTCACTTTTCTAGTCACACTGTATTTCAATGTGTAGCAGAGAGAATATAACTGGTACAGTAATGCCATTATTTTATTTATATTACTGCTCAGGATAGATCAAAGTTTACATCTGAACAAAAGTAAGTCAAATTTTTTATTATTTTAAATTAAGAAAATATAAGTGAATAGAGTAAAAACCAGGAAGATAACTTGAGAATGTCTGGGTTGGAAAATTCTGGGGTCCGGGAAGTTGGCTGGTAGGCAGATGTGGACGTGAATCCTGCCTCTGTGACATCATCTGTGTCAAAATCAGAGAGTCGTGTAGAAAATTCAGAAAACAGCCTGTTACGAAAATCACTCGAGCAGACAGATCTATGGAAACCATTTAGCTTAGCATATCCTAGATCCCCAATAAACAGGGGCCCTATTTCTCCATGATGGTCCATTCCTGGGTGTCTGCCTTGTGCTCTGAGAGAATTAGTGGTTCCTTTTGGAGTCTTAGATCTTTTTCCCTGTGCAGTTACCCCCCCCCCCCCACTACATGTGTTTAATATGCTTGAAAGTTTTCCGGGACTAGGTCATCTCCCCAACTTTCAACTGAGCCACTGCAATATATAGCTGCCTGCCTCCACCTTCTACCTCCCAGGCCTCACCTGCTCAGGGCCCAGCCCCTCCCTCTCTGCCTAGTCCCCTCCAAGCTCACGCCCAGACCTTTTTTTGGTCACTACCCACCTGCTCCTCTGTCATCAAGTACTCAGCTATGGGCACTTGCCTCCATGTCCCCCACCCATTGGTGACATGTCAGCCCTCCTCATGGCTGCTCAGTGGCTCTGAGTTCTGCCATTTGAATCCATGTGAGAACGAAGTTCCCTGGTTTTCATGGCTAGGCCCTTCTGGGAAGGAGCATTCATGGGACTCAAGACACTGGGGTTTGAGACCAGTAACTGGGAAGGGCACATTTGGATGTGGCTTCCTTTTTCAGCTCTGAGGTACAGCTTTAGGCTTGGAATGATAACAATTTAAGAGTTGGAGGGATTGGGGAAGAGGATAGAGGCCATTTCCGAAGGCATGTCCAGATACAGAATCTCTTTTTCCGGTCAGCTTGAAGAAGCCAACATAATTTGGGGGCTGAAGAGGGGAACAAGCCTCTTTCTGGCTGAGCCCTGGGAATGATCAGAATCTGTCTCTTGGCAAAGTAAGTCATTAGATGTCATCTATTACTCTCCTCAACTGCCATCCCCTAAGTTCCCTTTCTCACCATTCCAACTCAAGCTAAATGAGCCTTGTTAAACTCAGACATTCCTCATCCCCCACTTTCCATCCTCAGCCAGGAGCAGGTGAAGAAGCCCGGGGGGACTGGGTGAATGATGGAGCCTCAGTTGTGAAACAACCATTTATTACTGAGGGGCCCTTCAAGGATTCTAGAGCTCATTGCACAGCAGGAGATGGAAAGGGGCTCTGCTGCCACCCCCAAACCCCAACCTGGGAAGGAAGAAGAAATGAACCCAGCTAGATGAGCTCAAACTTGGCTTTGTGCACACTGAAGCAGTTCTCTAGGTTCGTAAACAGTCTGCTACCTCAGCCAGGGACAGTTGCTTGTTAGGAGGAGAGAGCACAGAAAAGCAGCAGAGTGACAGAGTGACAGGATGAGAGAGGGGCAGAGAGACCCAGAAAGAACCTGTCCCCCCATGCCAAGTGACACAGAAAGGAAAAACAATGCTGGAGGTGGCTCTGGGAAAGGCTCAAGGGGGCAGAGTGGGTTTGGAGGGGGGCTGTAGTAAGGTGAAGAGAAAAAGGGCAGGAGAAAGATGGCGGGGTTGGAAGGGGGAGGGGTGTGGTCACCAAGTGGCCAAGGTCCCTATGGGGTGGAGACAGACCCCACAGCACTCTCAAGACTGGAAGAAGGCTGGGTCAGGGCCTGGTGGTGGGTCCTATCTATGGGAGAGGTGAGTGAGGAAGTAGGAGGATAAGAATCTGGATACAGGGTCCAGGAAAGTAGAGAGTGGGGTGGTGGCAGGGCTCCATGTGGGGCCCCAGCGGTCATATGTGCCATGGTTGGCAGTGACAGCTGGGTGGGGGGGCACAGTTTTTGCAGTGGGGGGTGGCCTTTAGCAAGGGGACCCCTACGGGGGGGGGGGGGGGGGGGGGTCTTCTGCGGGCTCTTGGCCCTAACCTTGGATAGGCAGGGGGAGGGGCACTGGGGGGTAAGCAGAGAGAAATGGGGGGGCACGTGGGGGAGGGGCCAGGCGATGATGGACAGGGCGGGGGCTGACAGCACAGTCCCGGATTGGGGTCACGGCCTGAGCACTCACCGCTCTCCTGCTCGCTGCCCTTCTTGGCTGCAGCGGCGTTGCCCATCGCGGCGGTGGCGGCGGCCGGGGCCGGTCCCGGAGTTGAGGTGCGGCAGGTGCTGGCGGCTGCCGGCGGCCCCGGAGCGTGCTGGGCGGCGGCGGCGGCAGCAGCCCCTCGGGTTGCTGCACTGGCTGCGGCGCCGCGACCCCCGCCAAGCCCCTGCTTCCCGCGTCTCTCCGCGCCCGCCCGGGAACCTCAGCCCAAGTCCGCTGCTGCTGTCTGTCTGTGACGCTCCCAGAGCCCACGCTCATTGGTTCAGGCAGCTCTGAGTGATGGCACCATACTGCCGTCTATTGGCCCTCTGCGACCCTCCAGCGCTGGTATAGGTTGCGGCCCTGTGACGCGCGCCCCGGGTGCCCGGCCACTCGCGCACCCGCGAGGCTTCTGATTGGCTGAGGTTCGCAACAGCGCCTTGGGCTCGCCCAGCGAGGCCACCAATTGGCTAAGGTGCACCGTCCGGCCAGTCCCCTACAGAACGTCCAGTGTCAATCCCGGGGTGAGAGGGCGGAGTGGAGGCGCAGCTTGCTGCTGGGCAGTCGGGTGGGGTGGTGGAGGCTGGCGGGTGGCCGCGCCACGCTCGCTCAGAGGATCAGGAGGCGGTCCAGGCGGCGTCCATCCGCCCCGTGCACTCCGCAATACCCCGCCCCCGCTCAGTGCGGCAGCAGTGGCAGGCCAGCCAAGGTTGGCTCCGTGGTCCCCTCACCCCCGGCGCAGCCGCTGTCCACCTGCCAGAGGGGGAGGGGTGCGTTGGCGCGGAGGGTCAGAGGTCGCTGGGAGGCGGGCCGGGCCGTAGTCATTCATAAGGCCTGGAGCAGGATAGCTGCGGCAGGCCTGGGGGAGGGGCCAGGGCTTCTACAGGATGCGGTCCTTGGGAGTAAGGAGCACTTGGGAGGGGGCCTCAAGTGTCTATCCCATTGCTGTGCGCCCACGCTGGGCTCGTGCCACTCATTGAATACATAGCCCTGTCACACAGGTACTATTATCACTCCCGTTTTACAGGTGAGGAATCGAGGACAGGCTGAGGATTCCGTCTAGGCAAATGAAGAGGGAATCTGCCCTCCAGGGGAAGAAACATACGAGATGCCCCTGCCTTCAGAGTGCCCTTTTTATATACACATAGCCTGAGGGCAGTCAGGGTTCCCTACTATCGCACTGCTGACATATGGGGCCTCATCATTCTCTGCTGGGAGGATTGCCTTGTGCTGTACTGTACACCTCAGTTTAGCAGCATTCCCAGTAGAATCTCCTATCCCACCAGGTGTGAGAACCAAAACCATTTTGACATTGCTAAATGTGCCCTGGAGGGCAAAATTACCGCCAGTTGAGAGCCACTCAAGCAGAGGAAAGCCCAAACAGGAGGTGTCAGGGGCAGGGGACTGGTTGAGCCAGGTCTCCTTGACTTGTGGGTTAAGGGGTCTTAGGTGTACAAGCCAGCTGACTCACTGCTCTGCCTGCACCCTACCCAACTGCTGTCTGCACCCATGCACTTAGGTTGACCATAGGGAGGGAGGAGTTGGAGCCCTTATGTAAATTATGGGGAAACGATTCCACTTCTGGCTGTGGGCTTACAAATAAAAAGTTAAGTAAAATTTAATAAAATGACCCTGGCTGGTGTGGTTCAGTGGATTGAGTGAGTCCTGTGAACCAAAGGGTCACTGGTTTGATTCCCAGTCAGGGCACGCACCTGGGTTGCAGGCCAGGTTCCCAGTGGGGGCATGTGAGAGGCAACCACACACTGCTGTTTCTCTCCCTCTGTTCCCCTCTAAAAATAAATAAATACTAAAAAAATTAATAGAAGTGTTGCCATATCCTTGTAGTGTTAATTTCTTTTTGTAGGTCAAGGTAAAAAAAAAAATCACTGGTTATGCTCTACAACAGCTGCATTGCTTAAGTTTTAATAAATAAAAACTTCCCAAATCTGTCTGGATCACAACTATACAACCAACTCAGACTAGGGCAAGCAGCTAAACAAGGAAACAAAAGGCAGTGAACTGACTTGCCAGGGCAAGACGACCCCCACCCATGTCCCAAGGAAAGATGGACAAAGCTGCTTTAGCCCACCCAAGATAAAAGGAGAAATAATCAGTCTAAATAAAATGCACTTTTAGATCAACCAAACATATTTAATATAAAAAACATTTTTAATATACAAGCTGTAATCACAATAGCATCCACATGGCGAGGCGGTGGGGAACATGGCAGAGGGCATGGCAAAGGGAGACTTCCAGGGTCCCTACTGCTTCCTGTGGCTGCAATCACTCTGTAGCCTCTGAGAGCATGAGGGTCTTAGCAGAGGGCCAATCATGGTGGCCAGAGACAGAGGGGTCCTGGTGCCCACAGAGATAGAGCACAGCAGGTCACTCTAACATGCCATCTCTCAGAAGTAGCAGCCTCCAGGGAAATCCAGATCCAGTTAAATGTAATGAGGAGGTGGTTGTGACTGAGAGGAAGAGTCAACCATCATTCATTAGTATCCTGCTGATCACACTTTTGGAAATGGTTTTCCAGGGGCTGATGGATTGAAAAGACCTAGTAATTGTTCTGGGAAAAGGATAGAAATTGTGTCCGAGTCTACTTTCTAACACAGGTTCCTTGTGACTCCAGAAAGCTGAATGGATCTACTCAGATATTTGGGAAAGGAAAGGAAAGACAGAGCCACTAGCCCAAAAGGGCCAGAGCCTTGCCAACCATTGACCAAGAAAACCTCAAGGCAGGCAGGGAGGTCTGTGGGAAAGCTCTGGGTCAATGGTACTTATATGGAAGCATGGTGACACAATGGCTTGTGTGTGGAAGAGAGAAAGAACACAAGTTAGAAAGAATTAAGAACTGAAGTACCTGCTTTTTATAAGGCTGGGAAGTAAAGGTGAGATATGGTAATCCTTCTGGGCTGAGGTTGGGAGAGACCTGAGGCCCATTCTTTCCTTGGGGACAAGTTTGACAGATCTGAATATAGTTGATGGCTCCAAAGTCTTCCAGATGGTCCTCACAGGACTCTTCAGGAGCCCTGAATGTAAACTCCAGATGTGTCAGAAGACAGGCTGTGGTCCTGGCTGGGCCCAAGTAGAGATCTAGAGTCCCCCAGTTAGATGCAGTCCATGGAGTTCTCGGGGAGAAGGCCAGGGACACAGCCAGGGAGCCCCAAGCCCTTGACAGGAGTGCAGTTGATGGGGGGGCTGCAGCTTAGTGTGGGGTCCTGGTTCTCTATGGCCTCCAGCCTGTCTGTATTGTTGTCCCAGTTGATGTGGAAACGGGTCACCCGGGGATTTGAGGCCAAGATGTTCCGTTGGAGCTGGGGCAGGAAGAGAAACATCAATTTGTCAGCATGCCCTCTCATTCATTACTCTCACAAAGCCAGGGCACCCCCCAGTCCCCCACGCCAAGCCCAAGGAAAGCAGACCCTGCTTATCTTATCATTGACAATGTGTACAACTCCAGGGAATGCCTGTGTACCATGATTTAGGGCCAGGACCTATCTAATCTTAATTCTGCAAGGCGTGCTCTGGAGAAACAAAGACCCCTCTCACATTCTAGCCCAGCACTGCAAGATCTAAGCACTGCTTGAAAACTTTAAGTGACCTTGGCTTCTGAACCCAATCACTTAACTCCTTTCAAATGCAAAGGAGCCAGCTGGTCTAGAGTAGGAAGTGCAGAGAGACCCCACCTGAGAGAAGTCTGGTTTTGGAGGTGGGTTCTCCCGAAGTTCTGGGTCAGGATACTCATTGTTGACGTAGTAGCCCACTCGGATGAATTCCTGTCCATGGTAGGTGCAGGTGATGAGGACCACTGTCACACCAATGGCATCGCTCTCAGGGATGAGGGATGGGTTAGGGGCATCAGCCTAGTAGAAACACATCCTAGGCCTTAGCACCAACTTCTCTGAGTTCAATGTTAATGAATTAATGATAATACTAATTGAGGTATTTTAAACACACCTAAAACAAGGTTATGAATTGACTGGTTGATAAAAATGTGACACACAGAAACTTAACCCTGTATTTCCTGTGGGGCCATGGTTCAGTATTCACTAATTCACTGTTCACAACATTATAGAACATAACTCCTATGAATAATGAGGATCAACTGTGAATCAGTGGCTCATGGTAACAGCCATGACACAGAGGTGGAGGCAAGGGAGGTGTCTGAAGTACCTCTGAGAGGTTAGACTTGAGAACAAAGCAGGGATTTGAACCTGACCTTTTGACCACTAAGCCACACTGTGTGCTTTTGGGTAGAAGAGGACGTTTCTAGGTGTCAAGGCCTATAAGGCCTCCTTTCTTACCTGAAATACGAACATGTGTCTCCCTGCTGGGACAGGACCGACCAGCACCGAGTCTAGGATTTGATCAAACTCCTCACTCTCAGCTGAGCCAACATAAATGATCTTCCATTCTAGGTCTGCGAGAACATAGGGTTTTAAGGAATTGAAATAACTTGACATCAAAAAGGCAAGGAAAGGGTCCTCTTGTGCTACTTTTGGACAGATCCTTAATACAGTGAAGGATTCTTACTCTCAACATCTCCTGCACTAACTGCCAGGCACTGTAGTCCTGAGCACTGGGGTGGACAGGAAGCTCTTACTTCCAGTGGAAGTGGGAGATTTCTCCAGTGGGCCTAGCTTTGCCAGGCAACCTTGACTCTGCACCTCCAGGGAAACTCGGGCCTCTCAGAGCCTGAGGGCAAACCGTATGGCAGAGGCTGAATTAAGACCCACGTGATGGAGGCACGCTGAGGAAGGAACAGCAGGGAGTTGGGCCATTTCAGGGCTGTGCCCACTGGGTGCTGGGATAGGAAGCAGCATCCTCTTTCACACACAGGGACCAGTGCCACCAAACTGAGTAGATCCCTCGACAACTGGGGCAGGGCAGCAGATTCCAATCCAGCAGGAGAGCCAGCCGGCAGGAGGGGGAAGATGAGGCTGCTGGGGGAGTCAGCCAGTCCCCAGATCTTCCAGATCCGGCACCAAGTCATGCCTGTTTACAGCCATTGGGGTAACCAATAACTCAATCAACAAATGTGATCCTCTTAGCCCCAATTCTCTTGCATCCCATCTACTAGAAAGGAACCCTATCCCTGAGTATGTTCAGGAAAGATGGAAAGTAAAGTGCTTAAGGAGACCCTGCCCGTCAATCACAGGAAATTCCCAGTGACCACTGCCTCTTGCAAAAGGTCCAAGTGTATCAGGGGCAAGGTCACGTTAGTACAGGGAAGCTTGGCAGGAGACCTGAAACTTATTTTAGGTTCTCTGAAATTACACAACATACCACTCCAGCAACTGGGGGGAGTTTCACAAGCTGTGATTTTCACAGGAAGCAAACGCTCTTGGAAGCTGCCCTGTTCCTTGGTCCAGTGTCCTGCAAGTGCATCCAACTTCGGAAGAACATTGATGCCTGGCCACAACTAAGGAGGTTGGTCACCTGAGCCCCAAGCTCTTCCTCGATACACTGGCTTCCTGTGCCTTTGCAGTATTACCCAGGTCTACTTAGGCCCCCTGGGGCTCACTATAGTTCAAATTCTAATCTCTTATTATTTGCAGGGAGAATTAAATTTATTGATTTATTTTTGTTACAAGTAGTGACAGGACTAGACATAACATGTTTGGAACAAAAAAAACCCCACCTAGTTGTTTTCCCCTTTCTCACATAGGTCTACATTTTGGTATCTCTTTCTAGCTTTTCCCCCACTACCAGTTGGAATCACATGTGTGTGCATTAAACTAATGTGCTGGGGCGGGGGAGGTATAAAGGAGACTGAAATAGAGCAGGCTAGGGGCACACCACAGGCACTCAATGTTCAATACCATTAGTAAAACCTAGACAAAGTGTGTGGGTGCTAACAGGAAAACACACTGCATGGGTGGCCAGGCAAGTGGGCCACAGTGGATCCCTCGCTACTAGAGAAATGAACCAGAGAATCAATGGAGGATCAGAAAAACACTGACTCAAGAGTTGGAGGAGCTGATAAAATCATCTACAGAAGACAAAAGGTAAGGACCTAAATATTGAATTGTATAAAGTTGAGGTTTTGAGTGACTTCAGCACAAATTCACTCCTATGGAATACAGGACACAATTATATACACGTAACATGTGTACCCAACCTTTGGGATAATTTCAAAGTAACTTGACTGCCTTAAATTTTGTCTTTATGCCCTAATTTTATGTTCTAACCACTACACAGGATGTTCTTCCACTATATACAAAAACAAAACCAAAGCCAAAGGCATGATAAAAGACATGTAAAATATTATTGTAGTTGTAGTAGCCGAGAAACCTGTTTCCTGCCTTAAAAAAAGCCTGATCTAATAGGTCTTTTTCTGTTTATCACTTTATCTTTGTTCAAAATCATACAAATGAACCTTGGCCTGACCATAGCTGTGAGCCAGAACATTTGGCCCCATGACTTATTCAAGCAGTGCCTGTTTAATTTTTCAACTAAATGGGTGGTGGTGAGGGGGAAACAAACCTAATGTGTTAGATGTGGGCTCATATTTTAGCACCATTTATTTCCAGATGCTGAAGAGAAAAGAGATCAAAAGGGGCTTGGAGTCCCTAGGAAATGAGGTCAGTTGACTGACTAGGGTTTAGGGTTCTTGTCAGATCTGTAGTTGACACTGTTGAGGTAATAAGATTGCGATTTCTCCAGGATCTAAGACTTCTACATCCAGGCCCACTCCACCTTTTGGGAGGCAAGCAGGAATTAAATTCGCTCTGCTCTGTAGAAAGAGGCAGAAAGTGAGTTACTGATTAGAACTGTGGAGGGCCCTAAGAGGAAAAACCAGAGTCTGGATTTCCAGGCCAGAGTTTGCTTTCCAGCTTGAGTTTCTCTGGGCAAAAGCTTTATGGTCCAGGTGTAATTACCCCCTCTGATCTCTTTTCTGATATGGAAATAAACTCTATAATCAGTTCTATTTATGTTCCACTTCTAAAATAAAGGACGTAGCCCTGGCTGGTTTGCTCAGTTGGTTAGAGCACCATCCAGATAAACCAAAGTTGTGGGTTCCAGACCTGGTCGGGGCCCATACAAGAATCAACCAATGAATGCGTAAATAAGTGGAACAACGAACTGATGTTTCTCTCTTTGGAATCAATAAATTAAAAGAAAAAGAAGTTTAAAATAAAGGATGCTTTATCTCTCTCAGGTTTTAGCAAAGATAAAGAACCCTGGACTCAGAACTTAGAAAACACCCTAGTGTCAATAATGTGAACCATGTGAACTTGGAGAAGTTATTCTGTTTCTCTCTAATAAAATGTGAAGGCCAGCAGATTGACTTTGGACCTCTACTATGATTCTATGAACAGATTAGTAAAGTAGGAGACTTCCGGCCAAGATGGAGGTGAAGGTGGAAACACTGTGACCCCTCGCACAACCAAGTTTAAAGACAACAAAATCTTAGTAACAAAAAAGCAACCAAAACAGACAGAAAATTGAACTGTATGAAAGTCTGACAACAACAAACCATTCAGCCAGACCAGTAAGAGGGGCAGAGTCAGTGGCTGCCGGAGCAAGGTTGGGCAGGAAAAAGCGGCCTGACTGACCCAGGCATACAGGTGGCAGTTGGCAGATCCCAGGTGTGGGATGGCAACGGGCAGACCCAGTGAGGGCGCAAGGTGGCTGGCTGACCGGGGTAACACATTTGCACACAGATAAACCAGGAGAAGGAGCGAGCAGTGAGACAGACCATGCAGGCTAGGACCCCAGGGACAGGAATTAAAGCCTAAAAAGCACCAATTGGAAAAACTTTTGGGGTTGAGGTGTGGGAGAAGCTCCCAGGCTCACAGAGAGTTTGATGGAGAGACCCACAGGGTCCTGGAGGGTGCACAAGCCCACATACCCGGGAGTCGGCACCAGGGGGGGCCCAGTTTGCTTCCGGAAGCCACAGAGGGGACCAAAATTCGAGAGAGAGAAGAACAAACACCGTTGCCCCTCTCTCACCCCGCCCCCACATATAGTGTCACAACCCAGTGACTGGGTCACCCTGCCCTGGTGAACACATACATACATAACAGGCACAAACAGACCAAAACATATGGCTCAAGAAGAACAGCTCAAAACCCTAGAGCTGATACTTCTAAGCAACCAAGAGATAGCCAACCTATCAGATGCACAGTTCAAAACACTGGTGATCAGGATGCTCACAGAACTGGTTGATTTTAGTCACAAATTAGAGGAACAAATGAAGGCTAAACTAATTAAAATAAAGGGAAATGCACAGGGAACCAATAGTGATGGAAAGGAAACTAGGACTCAAATCAAGGGAGTGGACCAGAAGGAAGAAAAAAATGACCAAACAGAAAAGTATGAAGAAACAAGAATTCAAAAAAATGAGGAGAGCCTTAGGAACCTCCAGGACATCTTTAAACATTTCAACATCCGAATTATAGGGGTACCAGAAGGGGAAGAGGAAGAACAAGAAGTGGAAAACTTACACGAACAAATAATAAAGAACTTCCCCAATCTGGCAAAGGCAACAGACTTCCAGGAAATCCAGGAAGCTCAGAGAGTCCCAAAGAAGTTGGACCCAAGAAAGAACACACCAAAGCACATCATAATTACATTAGCCAAGGTTAAAATGAAGGAGAGAATCCTAGAAGCAGCAAGAGATAAGGGGATAGTCACCTACAAAGGAGTTCCCATCAGACTGTCAGTTGATTTCTCCAAAGAGACCTTACAGGCAAGAAGGGGCTGGAAAGAAGTATTCCAAGTCATGAAATCCAAAGACCTACATCCAAGATTGCTCTATCCGGCAAAGCTTTCATTTAGAATGGAAGGGCAGATAAAGTGCTTCTCAGATAAGATCAAATTCAAGGAGTTCATCATCACCAAGTCCTTATTATGTGAAATGTTAAAGGGACTTATCTAAGAAAATAAAAAAGATGAACAGTGAAAGGACAGCAAACTCACAGTTTTTAAGAACCACACCTAAAACAAAAGCAAACTAAGAGGACAGCTGGATCAGGAGCAGAACCACAGAAATGGAGATCACATGAAGGGTTAGCAACAGGGGAGTGGGAGGAGGAGAAGGGGGGAGAAGGTACAGAGAATAAGTAGCATAGGTACTACTTAAGACGATAGGTAGAAAATAGACAGGGGAAGGGCAAGAATAGTATGGGAAATACAGAATCTAAAGAACTTGTGACACATGGACATAAACTAAAGGGAGGGAATGGTGGGGGAGGGGTGTGCAGGGTGGAGGGGAATGAAGGCAGGGATGGAACAACTATGATGGCATAACCAATAAAGTATATTAAAGAGAAAAAATAAATGGAAAAAAAAGATCAGTAAAGTAATAGGGCAAGGGTATTTCTTGGAATAAAAGTGCTAGGTAATGACCACACAACCACTTTTAAATGCAATGAACACAAACAGACTGACTGAAACCTGATCTCCGGCCATTTGGGAACTGTGAATTCCTTAACCTATTAGCTCCTTATATCTAGCTTAAAATTAAACGTTATTACACATTGATATTCTACACTTACCTTATTTATACTCTGCATTGTTACAGGAAGGATTTAACTGGACTTAGTCTATAATTAGTCACAAGTAAACTTGTAATTTAAATGGAGAAACCAGGGAGAGAGACTGCTCAATTGGTCCAGCCTAAGCACATTTCCAATTGTATCAACCTTAAACTAATTCAGTGGCTGGATTTGCAAGCTAACTCCCCAAATACCACCTAGAGATGCTAGTTAGTACACCCTTGCTTTACAGATCTTACCTCCTCAACTGCTGCCTCTTCTCTTTTTGTCAAGTGGAGAAATGGTCTGATGGAATATAGGCATACCTTAGAGCACAGGTGGCAAATACAAGGCCTGTGGGCCGAATCGGGCCCTCCACCTTGTTTTAGCTGGCCGGGCACCTTGTTTCTACCCGACAAGTAGCACCGAGCTCCTTGCCCCTAGTTTAGTTACATTTATATGGTCGTAAAATTACATTCAGCCCTTTGATGGCAACTGCGAGGGTGATGTGGTCCCTGGTGAAAATGAGTTTGATACCCCTGCCTTAGAAAGATTGTGGGTTTGGTTCCAGACAACCACATTAAAAGCCAGTGATCTTTTTGCTGGTGAAGGTATTGCCTTCAATTTGTAAAAAATGTAACTTCTGTGACGTGCAATAAAATGGAAGTATGGCTGTTATTTCCTCCTGACTCCCTGGGTGATCTTAGATTTTTGGAGTTTTATAGACATTTCTTTGAAAGGTCTTTCACTCTTTGTGGCTCCCATTTTCTCATCTGTGTGATGAGAGCCATATTTATTTCTGTGAATAAGCACATCTATGAAAGTACCTTAGAAAAGATGCCCAAAAGGTTTTGACTCCCAGATGATTGTTTGAAGCTGGATACCAACATGGCCTGGCCCGGCCTGGCCTGGCCCAGCCCAGCCCACCTACCCTCCAGACTAGGTCAGACCATCAAAAGTGCTGGAAGAGCCCTGGCTGGTGTATCTCAGTGGATTGAGCTTGGGCTGTGAACCCAAGGGTCGCTAGTTCCATTCCCAGTCAGGCCAGGCCCCCACTGGGGGGCCATGTGAGAGGCAAGCACACATTGATGTTTCTTGCCCTCTCTTTCTCTCTCCCTTCCACACTCTCTAAATAAATAAATAAAATCTTTAAAAAAAAGTGCTGGAAGAATTGTGGTAAGCTGGTAAGCTGGGATGTGGTGTGCAAACTGTGGGACCTGGCTAAATTAGGCTTGCCTGGCTAGACCACTCTTCATATTTAAGTGTGTTCATTGGAGCCCTCAGTAAGGGAAGAGTGAAGAACGGGAGTTGGTGAGACTAAGTCATCCTCAAAGACTGGAAGCCAGGCCATGCCTCCTCAAGTGGAGCTCAAGAGCAGAAAAGGGTTGGGGCCATGATAATGAAGAGGGAAGCCAAGTTCTAGGGTCCTCTGGGGTAGAAAAACAGAAGTGGGTGGGGTTGTTTAAATATTAGTAGGTTGGAGAAGGGATTATTGGGAGACAAATGGGGAAATGGGGGTGAATGAAGTCTTACCGCTGGGAGAGGGTCTTTCTTCACAGGGAAAAAAAGTGATAGGAGGGGCTCCACTGGGAAAATTGGGAGGGAGCTTGGGAGATGACAGGGAAACTGGGGGAGGAAGCTAAGGTTTCCATAGGGGCAGTGGGAGGGGGCTGGGGACTGGAGTCTTCTTAGGAAAAAAGTAAGGTGGGAGTGTCTCACCAGAGGAGAGGGGGTTGGTGGAGAACACTGAGTAAGCTCTAATGTTAATATAAGAAATTTTCTATACTGACCCCTGCTTGGTGTTGCTCAGTGGATTGAGCACTGGCCTAGGAACCAAGGGGTTGCTGGTTCCATGTCAGGGCACAGGCCTGGGTTGCAGGCCAGGTCCCCAGTGTGGGGCGCGCGAGAGGCAACCGCACACTGATGATTCTTTCTCCTTCCCCTACCCTCTCTAAAAATAAATAAATAAAATCTTAAAAAAAAACCTTCTATACTGAAATAGGAGATGAGGTGACTAAGGGTATCTGCAGGTTAAAGAATGGCACCTGACCTTGTGTGGCTCAGTGGACCAAGTGCTGACCTGCGATTCCCGGTCAGAACATATATGCCTGGGTTGGGGGCCAGGTCCCCAGTTGGGGCGTATGAGAGGCAACTTACACATCGGTATTTCTTTCTCTCCCTCCTCCTTCCCTTCCCCTCTCTCTAAACATAAATAACTAAAGTCTCTTAAATGTTCTTTTTAAATAAAGAATGGCAGCTTCAGCTAAGAAGGGGGTGAGGTGGGCATGACGAGGTCCCCGCTTTGGGAAACGAGAGTATTCGTGGGGAGGGGGTCGAGTTGGTCCAGGGGTGAGGTTGGGGCTGGTGGGAGGGACAAGAGAGAGATCTTGTTTTGGGAGGTATTTCACAGAATAGGTCGAGGTAGGCCGCCAGGGTCTCTATGGTAAAGTCCGGTTGGCCAGGGGACCGGGGTGGGGGGTGGGGGGCGGGAGGGTAGGGTAATGTCCACACAGGCCCAGCCTCACCGTCTGCCAGAGCCTCATTGCACTCGAAGCTGATCTCGAACCGGAAAGGGCTGTGGAAAGGGCTCGGATTCTCCAGCACCGCCACGTTGAGCACCGACACCTTGGCCATCGTCTCTCCGGGCCACGGCTGAAGCCGGAACTGGGGCCGAGCCCACGTCTGCGTCTTTCGGGGTCAGGGGCACAGCGGTACCGACGGAACCCACAACCTCCTCAGACCGCGGACTGAAATGCGTACACTGCGCGCCTCCTTCAAATAGCTGGCCGCACCCTCTGACCAATCACCGAAAATGTTCCGCGGCGCCTTGAGCGTCCCGTTAGCCAATCCTGAAGCGTTGAGCGGTGAGCGCCGAGACTCCCTGGACCAATCCGCGGAGCTCCCTCCCCGGGCTGTGCAAGGGAGGCGGGACCATTTCCCGGCGTCTTCTAGTGTCCAGAGGAAACCAATCCCGAGAGTCTCAGACGTGGTTGTCGGCGGCGGGGGTAGGCGGAGTCAGAGCGCGGGGCTCCTGTCAGCCAATCTTGAGGGTTCCCGCACCGGCGTAGCCCGCCCCTCGCCGAGCTTTTCCGGGAGACGTTTCCCACCTGGAGCAGCGCCGCCAACTGCCGAGCGGTGGCGCGCGGCGCTCGCCTAAGAGGGCGGGAAGGGCGGTGCTCGAGTCCGCGGTGATTGGTAGGTGGATAAAGCAGATTCTCTGAGAGGCTTATGGGCTGGATTAGGCTAGGGGCGGGAGGAGAAAGACTCCGCTGGGGATTCGTGGGAAAGAAGTCGCAGTCGGCCGCCGGCGCGTTTGAACCGGGTGTGAAGAGACAGAGGAGGTATTGGCAGCTTCGGTGTCTGTCAGCAGGTGAGCGTTACCGGGAGCTCCTCTGATGGTCTCCTGGCCCCTCAGGCCCAGCGGCCGCAGAGTCCGTTGAGAACGTTGTGAACGTTGTGAGCGTTTGACTCCCCGCTGAGGGGAGACGAGCGGCGGCAACAGGGCAGTGGGGCCCCGGGCCCTGAGAGTCTGGCCTGATTCGAATCCTGCCGTCGCCCCCTCAAGGGCCTGCGGGAGGTGTCAGGTGGACAACTCTGTAAATAGGAGTTCGAATCCGGCCTCTACCACTCAGCTCAAGAGGCCACTTTTCCCTGCTCATTTAATAAGGCTGTGACAAAACACCGAAGTGACTGGTGACTGTGTCTGGAGATACTTCTCTCCATCCACACACCTGGGCTGGCCACAGTTGCCCACTGGCAGGAAGACTCCGTTCATTCTCTGCTCCCACATACTCAACTTTACATTTGTTTAATAACCGCTTTTTAAAAACAAGTTTAAAAAAAGCAGAAGCAGATGAAGTTAATCTTAATATGTGTGTTTAATCCAGTAGAGCCAAAATATTTCCAACAGGTGGTGGGTCTAAAAAATACAAATGAGGTAACTTACATTTCTTCACTCCGTCCTAAGTCTGAAATCTTGTCCTTTTTACACTTAGAACTACATTTTCATCAGAAAGAGTTGGTCTGACTTTAAGTTTCATAACATTAACAGTTGAAAATGTAGATTTCCGTGCCCAAACCTGATTGACATTACTTAAGAGTTTTCCATGAACTCAATTGCATTTTTTTAAAAAAAGATTTTACTTACTTTTAGAGAGGGGAAGGGAGGTAGGAAGAGTGGGAGAGAAACATCGATATGTGGTTGCCTCTCGCGTGCCCCCTAGTGGGGACCTGGCCGACAACCCAGGCATGTGCCCTGACCAGGAATTGAACCTGTGACATTTCAGTTCACAGGCACTCAGTCCACTGAGCCACACCAGCCAGGGCGCATTTTGGTTTTTAAATTGAAATGTTAATTCATGAAATTTAAGTGACATGGAAAATTCTGTATCACAATGACAGTAGCTATTCAGCACCTATATTCAGGTGCTTTTGAGCCCCAGTGGTAAGTGGCTACTGTATTATTGGACAGTGCAGGTCTCAAATTGGATCAGTCACTCTCCTACTTATAAAGTGAGTGGTTTTCTATTTGTCTCAGTATGAGAACCCAATAGCCCCTACCCCCCACCCCATCCATAGCTTTTCTTTTTTTTTAATGACTTATTTTTTTTCAATTACAGTTGACATACAGTATTATATTAGTTTCAGGTGTACATCACAGTGATCAGACATTATGTAACTTATTAAGTGATCACCCAATCCTGTACCCATCTGACACCATATATAGTTATTAGAACATTATTGACTATATTCCCTATGATGTACTTTACATGCCCATGACTATTCTTTATTTTATTTTATTTTATTTTATTTTATTTTATTTTATTTTATTTATTTATCTTTAGAAGGGAAGGGAAGGAGAGGCAGAGAGAAACATCAATGTATGGTTGCCTCTAGTGCATCCCCTGCTGGGAACTGGCCTGCAGGGAACTGGCCTGCAACCCAGGCATGTGCCCTGACTGGGAATCGAACCGCAACTGTCTGGTTGGCAGGCCCGCGCTCAATCCACTGAGCTACACCAGCCAGGGCCAGGGCCTCTTTTTAAAAAAAGTTTTTTATTTTCTTTCAGAGGGGAAGGAAAGGAGAAAGGGAGAGAAACAGCAATGTGTGGTGGTTGCCTCTTGACACCCCCATTTGGGACCTGGCCTGCAATCCAGGCATATCCCCTGACTGGGAATTGAACTAGTGACCTTTTGGTTTACAGGCTGGCACTCAATCCGCACTGAACCACACCAGTTTTGCTATTCAATGTTTCAGGTTTCACTTACCTGATGTCAAGTTTCGTTCGAAAATATTTAATGGAAAATTCCAGAAATAAACAGTTCTCACATTTTAAATTGTGTACTGTTCTGAGTATCATGAGGAAAAATGAAATCTTGCACTCGCTAGTATCTAGCGCAATAATTTCCTTTGTCTAGCACAATAATTTTCAACCACTATGCCACAAGAATTTAAAAAAATTTTTATTTATCTTTAGAGGGGAAGGGAAGGAGAGAGGGAGAGAAATATCAATGTATGGTTGCCTTTCATGCATTCCTTGCTGGGAATTGGCCTGCAACCCAGGCATGTGCCCTGACTGGGATTCAAACTGCGATCCTCTGGTTCGCAGGCCTATGCTCAGTCCATTGACCTACATCAGTCAGGGCCGCCACAAGAATTTTTAAACGTGTAATACCTGACTAGTCTGGGCACTGACCTCTTTTCCCATAAATTGTCAAATTAAAAAAATGACAACAGCCAACACAACAATAGCCATCTGTTGCGAATGAATCAAAAGTATTCTTATTTTTTTTGTCAGGTTAGCAGAAATTACAATATATTTTTTATGTGCTGCAGAATTTTAGTAATTAGTTTGTGTGCTATGAGATGAAAAAGGTTGAAAATCGCTAGTCTAGTGTATCAGAGAGACCCCCACATTCGCGTAACTTGTATTACAGTAATTGTTATAATTGTTCTATTTTATTGTTAGTTGCTGTTGTTAATTTCTGACTATGCCTAATTTATAAATTAAACTTTGCCATTGGCATGTATGAGGTCTGTCTGGAAAAAGTCTATTCATTGTTTATATAACAAGAACAGTTTGCACAGTATCGATGTGACCTGGCAGCGAAGGCAAGTGGACTGGAATGAGCATGTATGAACAATGATGACTTCACTGTACTAGTCAGTGGGGTGGTAGACACCATTGAGTGAGCATGTGTACTGTATGGCTGGTACATTCAAAATGAGCAAGTAGAACAATGAATTTGCATCAGATTTTGTGTTAAGCTTGAACATTCCTTCATGTAAGCTACTTGGATGATTTAGAAGGCTTTTGGGGATGATGCAATGAGTGTAGTGCCAATAAAAGTTTGGCACAAACCCTGGCTGGTATAGCTCAGTGGATTGAGCGCAGGCCTGCGAATCAGGCAATCGAGGTTCGATTCCCAGTCAGGGCACAACCCCCCCTGGGTTGCAGGCCCATTCCCTTCAGGCCAGTTCCCAGCAGGGGACACACGAAAGGCAACCATACATTGATGTTTCTCTCCCTCTTTTCTCCCCTTCCCCTCTAAAGATAAAAAAAAAAAAGTTTGGCACACATGTGGCAAAGATGGCCAAGAGTCTGTTGAAAGTGATCCACATTCTGGAAGGCCTGTAACAAGAACAACACTGGAGAATGTTGAATGTGTACAGGCTCCAGTCAACAAATATTGGTGACCCAGCTGACTCAGTCCCCCTGTAGCCCAGATTTGCACCCTGCAGCTTCTGGCTTTTTTCAAAACTAAAATCACCTTTGAAAGAGAAGAGATTTCAGACCATCAGTGAGATTCAGGAAAATATGACAGGGCAGCTGATGGTGATTCCAACAAAGGATTTTACAAAGTGTTTTGAACAGTGGAAGAGATCCTGGGAGAACTGTGTGAGAGCACCAAGAGCTTGCTTTGAAGGGGACGGAGGTGTCATTGTCCTATGTACAATGTTTCCTTTATCTTGTATCTTTTTTTGATAAATGTCTCTATTTTTCACATTACATAGCTAGATACCTTCTGGACAGACCTCATGGTATGTATAGGAGAAAACTATTCACAGTTTTAGGCATCCACTGGGGATCTCGGAACTATCCTCCTTTGGTAAGGGAGCACTACTGTATTGTTTTTAAGACTCAACACAATATGCTTCATTTCCTACAGCCCACAAACCTCAACTTTAGTCCAGCCAAATTGACTTCTCTTTGTTCCTTAAAAATGTGGCAAGGGCCCTGGCTGGTGTGGCTCAGTGGATTGAGGGCTGGCCTGCAAATCAAAGGGTTGCTAGTTCAACTCTTTGAACCCTGCAGTCCTCCCTCCAGTCAGGGCATATGTCTGGGTTGCAGGCCAGGTCCCTGGGGCGAGGGGGGGGTGGGGAGCGGGGGGGGGGTGCATGTGTGAGAGGCAGCCACACACTGATGTTCTTTCCCTCCCTCCCTTCCCTTCTCTCTAAATATATATATATGTGTATATATATATATATATATATATATATATGACATGGAACTCCCAGCGCAGATCCTTTACCTAGAATCTCCTCCCAGTTCTTGGGATGGCTGGTACCTTCTTATCATTTATATCTCTCAGTTTAAATGTCTTCTGCTGGACACTGTTCATACTCACAGAATATAAGTCTGAATAGCATTGATCCAGGCCACTAGCATTTCTTATCTGGCCACCTCTGTAGCCTCCCTAGAGTCTTAAGGCCTCATAATGCTAGGCATATTTTTGTATGTACATCTCACATTAAGTAAAAAAAAAAAATTCTTGCACTGAAAAAAATAGAAAGCTTTCCTGCTTTTGAAATTTGTGATGGCTGTGATTTCTTGGCAATCATTGGGCCTATGTGGAAATTTTTGTGATTCAAGAGAATCTAATTTTCAAATTATTTCCAAATATAATTTGATTATTTATGAATACTAAATTTAATGATGAATGAAGTTGCCATAATGTTACATTTTCTAGATGTTTAATTAAACATCTATTCATACCAACTTTGTAGTTTCCTTTTTGCATTATGGAACTTTTTTTTCCTT